CTAACTTTGTTAACAGAGTTAAAAGAAAAAGACAGCCAAAACACCAAACCAAATGACCTGGGCAGTAGTTCCTGCGCATTGTTAGAAACTCAGATATATAAACTGGGTGCCACATGGCACCTTAAACCTAAGGGCAGTGGCCACAGTGGAGAGTCTAGTCACAATTGTAACCAAATCCACCTCCATAAATAAACAGCCTCACTGATTTTTAAAAGATAGAATTCAGCATCACACGAACATCATTTTGACTTGCCAGATGGAACAACCCCCTCTTCTTCTGCCACACCTGGGGTGGGCACTCCCAATTCCACCCCGAAGACAATTTCAGAGGGCTTGCGGAGGAGGGGGAGAAAGCCCCACTGCAGAAGCAGAAGTCTTTTATTTCATTTATTACATTTATATACTACCTTTATCTTCCAAGGGGCGGGGGGGGGGTCACACAAGCAGCAGTGTTTGCACATCTTGCAAGGAGGAAGAGGAGGAAGGTGAGAGGCTCCAGTGTTCACCTAATTTCCACATACTCTGGCCCACTTTTGGTGTGTTGAAGCATTCCGTATCCACTCTAAATGATCTTGATCCCCTAGCTACAGAAATAACAAACAGAATAAATACACCTCTAAGTTACTAGTTTGATTGCAAAGGAGACCCCCGACCCTGTGAGCTACTTTTCTTTCTTGCACAGCAGTTTGAACTTTATGCATATCTTATGCATGTTTTTACACATCACTAAAGAGCGAGTTCAAGTTAAATCCTCACATTCTTAAGATCACAAGTGATGGATCTTGCATTTCCATAAGACTAACTACAAAAGATCTTCTATAGAAGTTCACTGTGACTATGGTGGTGCACATGAAGCATGTCGTTTCAGTTCAAAGTGAGAAGTAAACACTGTTCAGTTTGAAATGTATTTGAAATGTATGTGGCTTAAGGGTGCGATTAATAATAATAATAATAATAATAATAATAATAATAATAATTTATTTATACCTCACCCATTTGGCTGGGTTTCCCCGGCCACTCTGGGCGGCTTCCAATCAAATATTAAAAGCACAGTACAGCATTAAACATTAAAAACTTCCCTAAACAGATGTCTTCAGGTGTCTTTTAAAAGTAAGATAGTTGCTTATTGCCTTGAAATCTGCTGGGAGGGCGTTCCACAGGGTGGGCACCACTACTGAGAAGGCCCTCTGCCTGGTTCCCTGTAAGCTCACTTCTCACAGGTTGCCAGAAGGCCCTCAGAGCTGGACCTCAGTGTCCGGGCTGAATGATGAGGGTGGAGATTATCCTTCAGGTATACTGAGCTGAGGCCGTTTAGGGTTTAAAGGTCAGCACCAACACTGAACTGTGCTTGGAAATGTACTGGGAGCCAATGAAGATCGTTCAGGACTGGTGTTATGTGGTCTCAGCGGCCATCACCAGTCTAGCTGCCGCATTCTGGATTAATTGCAGTTTCCGAGTCACCTTCAAAGGTAGCCCCACATAGAGCACATTGCAGTAGTCCAAGCAGGAGATAACCAGAGCATGCAACTACTCCGCTGAGACAGTCTGTGGGCAGGTAGGGTCTCATCCTGCATACCATATGGAGCTGGTAGACAGCTGCCCTGGAAACAGAATTAACCTGTGCCTCCATGGACAGCTGTGAGTCCAAAATGATTCCAAGGCTGCACAGCTGGTCCTTCAGGGGCAAACCTGCCTGCCCCCTGTCCCCCCAAAACAGTACTTCTGTCTTGTCAGGATTCAACCTCAATCTGTTAGCCACCATCCATCCTCCAACTGACTCCAGGCACTCACACAGAACCTTCACCGCCTTCACTGGTTCTGATTTAAAAGAGAAGTAGAGCTGGGTGTCGTCTGCATACTGATGAACACCCAGTGAAACCTCTTAAAATGAGAAGTTCAAAAGAGCAACTGTTAAATTATTTTGTGAAGTTGTAGCGTTCTGTTTCTTAGGACACACATAAATGGCTTTAAAAGATGTGAAACTTACAGTCAAGATACTTCCAACTCATTCTAGATGCCACCCAAAACAATGTGAGAAAATAAAAGCCATGTGCCACAGAAGTAGACTTACATAAAGGACGCTAAGAATTTGAAGCACCTGCGTCTGAGACCACCTTCCTATCTCGGCTCAGTATTATCTACAGACTGGCAAAAGCTCTCCAGGGTTTCCTGCAGGGTCCTCTCCCAGCCCTGCCAAAATAGGCTCTTCCACTGAGGCACAGGCCTGTCTCAGTCAACTCAACTCCTAAAACTTAAAAGATTCTAACATTAATGAAATCATTCAATGGATGAAATGGGGTGTGGGGGGTTGTTAGGGGAGGGGTAGTACCTCTTGTGAGGTGTCATGCTCTTTCAGGGGCAGTTGGTCCACCTCTGGCCCCACCCTGCACTCAGCTCTCCCCCATGGCTCCTAGTAGCTGTCAGCATGGCACAGTGGCCACAACCCAAGAAATGCCTTCGACTGGCCGGCTAAACCAGGGGAGGGCAGCTGCTGGGTCTCAAACTCTTAGTGGGCTAGGGGCTTCCCCTGCAGATGAGACCAATACCACGTCAAATGGTCAAGAAGATGGTTTCTGAATGTGCTGTATATCAGTTGTTCCCAAGTAGCTGATTACTGAGGACCCCCATTTTTTCAAAAGCAAAGCCATGGATGCTCCACTTTTGAAAATCTTGATAACTGAATGGTAGTTACCTCTGCAATTTTTTGAGCAAAATGTGGGGTAGCCTCCAATAAGCAAAGAATTTTAAGTATTAAAAAAAACAGACTAGGGCTTATTTTCAACACTGTGATATATCAGCAGCTAAACATCGCAATGTGTTTAGGGAAGTTTTTAATGAAGTTTTACAGTAGTACCTCGGGTTACAGACGCTTACAGACTCCGCTAACCCAGAAATAGTACCTCGGGTTAAGAACTTTGCTTCAGGATGAGAACAGAAATTGTGCTCCGGCGGCGCGGCAGCAGCAGGAGGCCCCATTAGCTAAAGTGGTGCTCAGGTTAAGTACAGTTTCAGGTTAAGAACGGACCTCCAGAACGAATTAAGTTCTTAACCTGAGGTACCACTGTATTCTGTTTTTAGTGTCCTGTTAGGAGCTGCCCAGAGTGGCTGGGAAAACTCGACCAGATGGGTGGGGTATAAATGTTGTTGTTGTTATATTCCGATATATCACGATGTCTGAAATTGGAGATCAGGCATGGGATGAGAGAAGGTGCCTCTGCGGAGATCAGATGGCCGCATGTTTTGAATGGGGGCGGGATGGAGATGCATCAAGCCACCATCAGATGAACATTCACTGCGGCTGCTGCTGCTTTCCTGCTGGCTGAGGAAAGCTGCTCCGCCTCAGTGCCAGGGGAAGGCCATGGTGCCTTGAATTGAGGGAGACCAGCTGCCCTGTTTTCCCTCACAGTGAGGGAAGGCTCTCATCTCCCTCGTCTTCAGGGAAGGCAGCTCAGATCATCGTTCGATATCAGCGGTGCCTTGCTTTCCCTCACACAAGGAGCGATATATTGCTGCGTATTGCCGGGTCAAAATCATTAGCGCGATGTGATTTCAAAATCAATTTTGGCCAATATATTGAAAAATCTCACAGCGTTAAAACAGACCATAAAAATTGTGATATTACAATACAAAAATGACAAAAAATTAGTTGGGGGAGGCAAGAGATGGGGCTGCAGACCCCTGGGTGTGTTTTGCGGACCTCCTGGGGTCCCGGTGTCCCTAACTGGGAAGCACTGCTGTAGAGGGAAGTGAGGGGCAGGTGGGGCTCATCTGCCTTGGAAGATAATCCATCTAGAAAGGAAGACTCTGACCCTAAACCTCTGCTGTCATGTGGGATATCTTTGGGAGAAGAAAAGGCTAAGGATTAGTAAACCCTACGCAAATCTGGAGTGGAGTCCCTAAGGCAATTGGATGGTGCCATGGGCTTAGCCAGGATTTTTGTGGGGGGGGAGAACAAACGTGATTGGTCAGTTAAGTATTTCTATTGGTTTACTTGTTCTAGGGGGGCAGCTGCCCTCCCTGCCCTCCCTTGGCTATGCCCGCGGATGGCACCTTGTATGCCTCCTTCTGGCAACCAAGCTGGTGTCAAATGTATTGCTCTGGTTTCTGTTGGATTACCTCAGTGAGGCCAAGGAGGGGTTCTAGTTGTCTGGGCAGCCCAGGACCTCCAGACACCCTGTCCAGGCTTCTTCCCCAGGGAGCTCACTTTGGGGCTGCTAATACAGTGGTACCTCTGGATGCGAATGGGATCTGTTCCGGAGCCCCATTCGCATCCTGAAGTGAACACAACCCACGTCAGAGCGTTGCGATTTGCTGCTTCCGCGCATGTGCGTGACATCATTTTGAGCATCTGCGCATGTGGAGTGTAACCTGAAAACGCTCAACCCGAAGCTCCTTCAACCCGAGGCGCCCTCCATTGTCTCACCAGACAGATGGCAACAACATGTCACACTGGAGATAAGGCCAGAGGTGTATTTGTGCATCCACAGAGGAAGCATATATCCAAATATATTCCTAATGCTGCTATTAGGTGAAAAAGCATGCAGGCTGCAATCAAAACAACACATTGCTATGAGTTTTGGAGGCGGAGGAAGTAGGCTGAATCCACACTATGCCCAAGCTGGCATTGGCAAGGTCTTGGGCCTCTTGTGTCTCTCCGTCTCCATTCCCCGCTCTTCTGCCCCCGTGTACATTTGCGATCACCACGGAAGCTTCTGTCAGAGCGGACTCTGCTCCGCCAATGCTCCTGCCCTTCTAAGCGCCACAGGCCCGCGTGGCCACGTTATCCGGGGCAGGAAAACCTGCGGAGAGCCTCGTGCCCCCGACGGACTGGGACATGAGGCCGCGAGGTCGGCGGCGTCCGTCTTTTAGACGTGACGAGACTCTTGTCGCCTTCGCTGCCCGGGAAGAGGCCGGCTCGGCCTTGGCGCTCGGCGGCCGCGGCCCCTCTTCGGGCAAGGGCGCTCCCGGCCCGGGCGTCGCGTCCCGCCGCCGCCGCTCACCTGCCGTGTCCCAGACGGAGATGCTGTGCGGCCCCCACTGGCGGAGGCAGAAGGCGCCGCCGACGGTGCTGACGGTGTCGCGGAAGCGGCGCTCGGTGTAGCGCTGCAGCAGCGACGTCTTGCCCACGTTCACGTCGCCCAGGAGCACCACCTTCCCGTCGGGCTTCATGCTCGCTCCGCGCCCGGAGCCGCCCAGGGAATCTTCGCCGGGGCGGCGCGGAAGAGGAAGGGCGGCGCCGGGCCGGGACCTGGGCTGGGCGGCGCGCGCCCTGCTCTGGGCCGGACGCGGCTTCAGGCTCTGCTCCGGCGGCGGAGTCGGGGGTTCAGGCGGCGCTGCGCTCGCCCCGACGGGAGGCCGGCCGGCCGGCCGGAGGGGAAGAGCTCCGTCCCTCTCGGCGCGGAAGGGAGGCTCTCGGGGCTCCCAGCTCGGAAGGCCCGGCTGCTGGGCGAGGGATCCGCAAGGAAATCTCCCAGGCTGCGGCCAAGGAAACAGTCCGAGGCTTGGTCTTGTTTGGGCGCTGCGCGTCTGGCCGGGCGCCTTCCCTGGAGTCGAGGAGAGACCCCGGGACCCCCACCGGCCAGGCGCAAAAGGGGGTGGGCAAAGACCCTGGCCCTAGGCGAGTATCTGCAGACACCCACTCGCTCCCCAGACAAAAGAGAGGCGGCATCAGAGTCCCCAGGACACAGTCCAGCCGGGCCAAAAACACCTGGGGAGGGAACCTAGGAAAAGGGAGCCGTCTAAGGGCCAGAGAAACCCAAAGAGCTGCATTCAGTCTAGGCCTGAATAGCATTTTATAAATCAGAAAAAAGAAAATGGGGAAAGAGAGACAAAGCAGTAGAAAGCACTTCCATTTCTCCATCCGCCAAAGTATTCCAAACATTCACTCTAAAATAATGTCCCGCTGCAATGCCCAATTCAAGCTGCTAAACGTTTTCTTAATTTTCAATCCCAGTTGCTTCAAATTCATTCGTTTTCCTTTCCACACAAAAAGTCCAAAAACGGGTCTTCAGTGGTTATTGTCACGAGATATCCAGAATAGTCTTCCTCCACAAATGAATTTATACAGATTATAATTAACATATAACAGTTTCACAATTTAAGAACAATATGAAACAACCCCTAACCCCCAAATAAAACAACACCCACCATGTATTTAAAATATCCAAGTTAAAGCCCCCTCCCCAGTAAAACAATCATTTTACCACAAGGGGGCTGCCCCACACCCGTGTCTTCCCAGAAGTGCTGCCCCCAAAGGGACGCCCCCTTTTGGTGGTGGCCCCTCCATGGGCTTTATAGAGCTGTTCTCAAAGCAGGTTTTAACACAGGCGGATTACAGAGGATTTAGTCACAGGTCTACCTCATCTCTCACAGGAGATTAGCCTAGTTTAGTTAGCTTTTGACATTCCAAATCTTAATTAAATTCTAGTACCTCCTGGACCAGGAATTTAGGGGAATCTGGCACCCACAAACTCCTAACACTATACTTGCATGGGCAGGGCAATTTTAAAGGCTGATAACTAAACTAAAATCCCCCCCAAAGTAAGACCAGGTTAGAAGGATCTCCGCTCCCAATAAAATGGGGGAAGGAATGTGCTGGTGCTTCTTCACAACAACTACTTCCGAATTTCTGCTACTGATGCAACACTTGACTTCTGCTTTGTGAGACTTTCTCAGGGCCAACTAAGAAACACCCGGTGCAGATGAGATGCTTCTCTTCATTTCACACCCACCCACCCTTAATATAGGAAAAGTTGTTATATGACTCCTTTTCCTACAGTTCCCTTTCTTCCAAAAAGCCCCCTTCCTGCCCCATTTCCCCCTGCCAGTGGGGAGGCTGCTGGAGTGGTGCCATTTCAATGGGAAACTTGGCCTGTGAGAGGCAGAACGGGAAGGTGGCCTCCTACTGCTTTACCCATCCGCTGAAGCCTTGCTTCCTGGGGCAATGAGATCTCGTGAGGGGCCTGCAAGATCTCTCCAGAGGCCACAGCCCCTTCTCACGTCTCTTATTTATACCCCACCCATCTGACTTGGTTGCCCCAGCCACTCTGGGCAGCTTCCAACGTATATAAAAAACATAAAGCATTAAAAAAACTTCTATACAGGGCTGCCTTCTGGTGTCTTCTAAAGGTTGCCTAGTTGACTCCGCAGTCGCATAGCCATGACCTCCAACATTTCTCCGATAAAAATAGGGATGCCCTAACGAAAAGCCAGACATTCTGGGATCAATTCAGAAACTGGGACCATTCCTGGGAAAGAGGGGCCCTTGAAGGGCCTGCACTTCTCTGGCGGCTGCCTCCGTCTGCCTCGTGGGCTGGCTGCCCTGGCTTAGGAGAGAGGCCTGTGTAAAAAACCAAAATCTGCCCTTATTCCCTTATGGGGAACACAAGAGCGCTTATAGAGTGCTTTGTAGGTTCTCCATCGGTCAGAGAAAATAACAAGAGGCCAACCAGAGAATACTGAGAAGCAAAGCAGCTCGTAAGCCTGATCTTTATTTAATTATGTTCAACAGGGTGCCCCCTTCACATGCAGGAGAAGGAGGAGGACCCAGAACCCAGGTGTGCCAGCCCTTATATAGACATTTTAAATGCCCGCCCTGGAGTCCAAGACCACCCCCAGAAACATCATACATACATCACAGAAGGGGTGTGGCCCAAGACCATCCCCCTAGACACATCATACCTACATGACAGAAGGGGCGGTCTACAACAGAAATCTGAGTGCGTTGTTTATCTTCTGTCATTCTTTACCTCCTGTCTGGCAGGTTACCTGTTCATGCTTACTTGACTGGCCAGTCTTTTGTAGTGACAAATAGTTCCTGAGCCAGGTACACAGAGGTACACAGATATACACAGATATACCCTTAAGACAGGTTTTGTGAATGAAAAGACAATGGGGAGGTTTTTCCATTTTCCTTTGACCTTGCAGAGAAAACATTTGGTCAGTTTGGGAGCCAAAATGGCTCCAGGGCTGGGCTGCCCTCCTGTACTGCCTCAGACATGTGGCCTATACATTTATGTATGTGTTTGCCCGTTCTCTAAATCAATAAAAATCAGTAAAAATACATAGCGGACCCAGGTTCCGCCCCACCCCCAACAAAAACCCTGGTTACACCCCCGGTTCCAGCACCTTTTTCTCGAAAGGGGTTGCTGTGGCAGAGACAGACAGGCGGCCCTGCAGCCTCCTCCCCCCGGGGTGGAAACCAGTCCTTTGGCTTGAATGGCCGGGGTCTTTTCTGAGGGGGTGGGGTCATGTTTTCATCTAGGGTTTTGTTTTTGTTTTTTTGCAAAAAAAGAACGGTTTCTTTTATTTTTTAAAAATGCTGGCCTTCAAGCGCGTGTGGACGCGTGGGCGTTTGTTCCTGCCTTAAGGCCTGGCTTTTCGGTTGCCCTGGGAAAAAGCGACCAGTCCACGGAAGTCCTGGCGCCCCCGAGGTCGGCGCTTGTTTGGCAGGCGAGTCTCGCGGCTCCTGGGTCTTTCTTGCCAAGCGCAGATTCCCCCAGTTGAGCTCACTTGCTTACTGCGCATGTCACAGAGCGCGACGGGGGCGGGGCTTGGCCTCCGGTGCGCGTGTGCAGAAAGCGGCGAGAGGCGGGGCCCAGCGAGGGCGGAATCCCGCGAGGGCCGCCGGGAAGAGGGAGGCGGCCGGGCGGGCGGGCGGCCATGGCGCTGGCAGGTACCGTGCGGGGCGCGGAGAGGGGCGGGGGGGGGCGGCGTCAATCCCGCTTGGCCACCTCCGTTTCTGCGCCCTTCGCTCTCGCCCCTTGGCAGCTGCCTGGGCCGGAGGAGGGAGACCCGCGAGGCCGCCTGCTAAGCCCCTTCCCAGGACGCGCGTCGGCCGCTGCTCGTGTGGACTTGCGCTCGCAGGCAGCGCTTTCCCACAACCCGCGGGACCGGCGCCAGCGTTAGGACCGGGCGCACAGCCACCCCGTCCCGCTTCTCCTCCCCGAACCCGGCCACGTTTGCGAACAGGAAAAAGGGGCCTTTTTAGTTGCAGCTGGGTTTTTTAAAAAAGGGTTTGTTCGGTTTTGTAGGATAGCAAAAGACAGGTGGCAGTCTAAAACAAAGAAAAATAAGAGTCTTGACAGCCAGAGCTGTTTGACAGTAGAAGAGACTCTCTGGGAAGGTGGTGGCCTCGCCTTTCTTGGAGGTTTCCGAGCAGAGGTTGGCTGATCTAGTCGCGATTCCTGCATTGCAGGGGGTTGGACTAGAGGACCCTCAGGGTCCCTTCCAACTCTACAATTAGTGAGAGTAATAAAATCTTACCAAAACAGCATTGAAATGTCATGGCTCTTTCAGGCCTCAGTGCTTTTCCATTATGGAAACAGTTGTGTCTGTTGTTAAGCAACTGGGAGTGTCCGTTCACTGCACTAATATTATAACAATGTCAGAAGATCCCTTTTGGCCCATCCAGTCCAGCATCCTCATTCTCACACTGGCCAGCCAGATACCTATTGGAAGCCAACAAACACAGCCCATCCACTTATGAACCCCAATAACTGGCATTCTGAGGCCGGAGCGTCGGACGAGGTCCTGGGAGATCTGGGTTCAAATCCCCACTCAATCATGTAGCTCACTGGGTGACCTGGGGCCAGTCACAGCCTAAGAGGTCTTAGTGTCTCACAGGGTCATTAACTGCAGTGTGTGTGTGTGTGTGTGTGTGCCATGTCCTTGGAGAAAAAGGTGGGGTGTAATGCAAGAAAAAATCGCTCTTCTGCTTACCTGCTTAACTTTCTTAAAGCCAGCCGGATGGGGATGTTTGTCACCAGGCACCCAGAGATCTCCACATGCTCGCAATTGGACCTGTGCCAGTTGGAAAATGTGCATAAGTAATTTCTAACACTGGAGGCAGAGATAACCTGGATATAGTGATTCATGCTCTGGTAACTCCAGATTAGATTAGTGTAACATGGACTGCAGCTAGTATAGAATGCAGCAAGTGTATTGGCTGACTTGTCAAGCTGAGCACCAGTTCTGAAAAGGCTGCACTGTCTGCCTGTAAGTACTGAATTCACCTCAGGGTTAGGACTAATTTAGAAGGACTCAAATGACTTAGTCAAAACAAAAAAAATTCCTTCCAGTAGCACCTTAAAGACCAACTAAGTTAGTTCTTGGTATGAGCTTTCGTGTGCATGCACACTTCTTCAGATACACTGAAACAGAAGTTGCCAGATCCTTCTATATAGTGAGAAGGTGGGGAGGGGTATTACTCAGAAGGGTGGTGAGAATGGGTGATTGGCAGATAGCTGTGATGAGCCTGTTGACGACTCTTAACGACTGCAATAGGTCTTACAGGGAAAAGCAAGGGGTGAGAAGGTGAAAAATGGCTTTGTCATGTATAATGTGATAAGAATCCAATGTCTTTGTTCAGACCAGGTCTCTCCATGGTTTTAAGTTTGGTAATGAGTTGCAATTCAGCAGCTTCTCTTTCCAGTCTATTTCCTCCCCACCTTCTCACTATATAGAAGGATCTGGCAACTTCTGGCATGCACACGAAAGCTCATACCAAGAACTAACTTAGTTGGTCTTTAAGGTGCTACTGGAAGGAATTTTTTTTGTTTTGACTATGGCAGACCAACACGGCTACCTATCTGTAACTCAAATGACTTAGGACGCAGTTACCTGAAGCCTTTCCTGCTGTCATTGTGCCCATATGTTAATATCTGCTGTGGATGGCTTTCTTGTCCATTGCTGAGTGAGGCACGTACCTTGAAACTCACAAAAGGACTTGGATGGGTTTGAAATTCCCTGTCTCTGGAAATCTACCTGGTGCCAACGCAGGCACTGCTGTATTTTTGTTGTTGGCATTCTCCTGTCTCGGGAGATAATGGAGGAGGAGTGTTCCTTGGGGAAAAGTCAAACTATTGGGGAGTTACAGCACCTGCTGTTAGTCCACTGACTTTAGTAGGAAAGAGAAGAACCTATAATTTATTTTTATGGTTTTTCTAGAATTGTTAATTTGAGTTTAGATGGGATGGGTATTGCGCTGGAATCACAGTTGATTGAAGGCGAGGTTTACAATGAAATAAAACTCTGGAGAGGTGGTATTTGGGTGTTTCTTCTAATGAAAAAACTGTTGAAACTTAGAACTCCCCCCTGCCCCACAGATGATGCAACAGAGTTTTGGAGGCAGATTGAAGATAGCCGAGTGGACTTGATATTTGAGCAAGTGCAGAAGGTACTTTGGTCTCTGAAGCAGAAGATCAAGGACAGAACTGCAACAGATGAAGGTTTGGAATCCTTTGTTATGATAATCAAACCTTGAATGGCTTAATTCATATTGCGTACAGAATAAACGGTGCAAGCTAAGATTTACCATGCATTTATTTGCATGGTTATCATTTTTAGAGACTGTATTTTTAATACAGATTTTTAAAAGTCGGTATTACTTTTATTTAAACAGAGTACTGCCAAGCTTTGGCATTTGTGAATCAAGTGGATATGACTAACCTCCTACCTCTGACAAATGGTACGAAAAGAGTTTTCATATTTTCTGTGTGTTGGTTTTTACTAAGCTAGAAATATTAGCTATCTCTTCAAAAACTATGGAAAACCCATTCTAATATGGCACTTCTTGGGTTTGGGATTAGGATTATGTCCATGCCTATCTTTGGCCTGCATGTTGGAGCTTCACATTGCTATGGGAGCCTAATTGTGTAGCCTGATTTGTTCAATTCTCTTTCGAGTATTAGGATTATGGATGTTTGGGCTCTGTTCCATTCAAGCGTAATGTCCAATGTGCAGACGTCAGGCATGTGTATATGTTCCTGATCCCCCACTGAACACGGTTACAGACATCTTTTAATCTGTCTGCGGTATATAACTTGGAGAATAATTTTAGAGTTTCTCATGAGAAGGTTAGGAATGCTGAGAGTGGTGACATCCATGTCGGCCAATCTACAGCTGCAAGGCATGGGTGGTGGCACTGCCTTTCCTCTGGGCTTTGCATCCCAAAGGTTTAAAGCAGGAATGGGGAACCTATCTAGTCTGAGGGCCATGTTCTCTTCTAGGCAGCCTTCCAAGGGCCACATGCTACTGGTGGGTGGGGTCAGGTGAAAAGGTGGGCAGAGCAACTACCATACTTTTCCGTGTATAAGACTAGGGTTTTTTTTTACTAAAAAATAATGTTAAAAGGGGGGTAGTCTTATACACAGGGGCAATCTGCCCCCATTTCCTTAATTTTGAGTCGCCCCAAATAGTCTTATACACTGAAAAATATGGTAATTTATATTTTACCTTTTTGCAGTAGACTAGTTTACACATCCAGACAGCAAGAGGCATTATCAGAGCTCAAGGACACATTCCAGTCAGGCCAAAGTGCAGCATGTGAAGCTGGGCCAGGAAGGGGGCTGCCTGGGGAGAGTTTTGAGCCCCTGGGCCTGAGGTTTCCCACCCCTGCTTTGAAGGTCACATGAATTCTGTTAGGTGGGACATAATTGTTCCTCTTTTACTGGGTCAGACTCAGACTCCATCCAACTGAGGGCAGTTTGTGGTTTTCCAGAGTTTCTGGTGAAGGAGTTTCCAAGCCATCCTGCTTAATCTCCTCGTGCAATAACTAAACACTGCATTTATTCATTGTTCCTCACTTGGGCATAGTGTACAACAGGGTGGATAAAAATCAATGATTTCTTTTAATTAAAAAAAGGATTTTTAAAAATTTAAATCAGATTTTTAAAAATTTAAATCAGATTTTTAAAATAAAATGCTTTTGGAGGAAAAATATTTCTAAAGATAGTTTTCTATTTAAGTTACATTATAGTCCAAAGGAAATAAGGATTTGTTTTAAGTTTTTCATGTGTGCTAAAACTCAGTCTAAGTTGTTTTTTTTAAAAAATAATGTTTAACCACATCAGTTAACAAACATGGATACATATGCTATAATGTTACTGTTTTAGTTAAATAAATTGTTTAAATTGTTATTAAGGAAATGATTATTTTTCTCCTTCCAGTAAAGTACAGCAGAAAAGTTGTTCAAATATAAACAGTTAACTTGTTAAAACTCACAATAATTTAATAATTATCTGTCTATGTATTTCTAATAGTATAACCAAATCAGTATTTTTTTATATAACTGTAAAAAATACTCTGAAAATTTATTATTCCAAAAATGAAACCTTCATCTGATTGTAAATATTAAGATTATATCAGCAAGAATGAGTCTTTCTGTTAAAAAGACGATTTAAATCAAGTCTAACTGACTAGTGATTTAAATCAAGTCTTACTGACTAGTGATTTAAATGGATTTGATTTAAATCAAATCCACCCTGGTGTACAATCACCAACACATCAGTCACCAACCTTGCCTCTAGTTTGGCTCTTGAGCTCTTGAAGTGTTGGAAGAAATCTGTAACATTTGGGTGGTATTCAACTAAGTTTTACTCAGAGCACACCCAGTGAAATTAATTAACTTGGTCCTGTTCATTGATTTTAATGATTCTATTCTGAGCAAAATGTGGTTGAATGCCACTCACAGTGTTTGACATATTCTATCTTTCCAAAGGACAAAGCCACCCCCACCCCCCTATTCTGTGCAAATATGTTGCAGTCCTGGGAGTGGCAAATTAATCCATTATGTTGATTTCTGTTTTGACAATAGTCACAGAATTATTTTGCCTTAAAATCTCCAGCTTTCTTGGGAGTCTAGGATGAGGTAGGATAGAATATACCCCATATGTCCTCAGATCCCCAAAGTTTCACAGTGATTTGAAGCATGAGGGTGGAATTGGCATAATACAACTGAAGACACTCAGGCTGATGACAGCAGAAGTTTCTTGTCATGTGCGAAATAATTCAATATTAAAACAATGCACTTAAAATGCTATCTTAAGACCTTTGTTAATATATGCATAATTACAAATCATTATTGGTTTAAATAAAAGTCTGTACTGCATTTAATTGTGACTGTTCTTAATTGCAATCTAAAATGTATATTGCTAGAGTTTATATTTTACTTTTCAAAGTAAATAATGCTGTTACTGAAGAAGATATGCAGAAATTTGAGCCTGGTTTACATCCTTCTGCCTCAAGTGAAATTATAGAGAATCCTGGAGATGATTTTTCTTTGTGAGTAAACCATATTTTTGTTGCTTTTATTTCTTAGGAGTTTGTAAAAATTAGGAACAACAAAACCATCTGGAACCCTACAGATAGGGATGCTTGAGGATTTTGTTCATTCCACGTTTTGAGGTGGACAAAACCGTTGAAGCCACCTGAACCACTGTGCAGGCAGTAGGATCACAGCACCTCATAGAGTACAGACCAAAGTGCATGGAATATGGCCCAAAATTTTCATTTTAGGTCACATTTTAGTATGCTTGTTTTTAAAATGCCCTTTATTTTGGTAATGGGGAGGAAGGAATGGATCACTGATAGGGAAATGTAGTGAACTAGTGATTCACCCATCCCTAGTCCAAGGGTGACTGGTTATGTAAGACCTGCATATAGACTTCCGTCGTCTCTACCGCAGTGCCTGTCCCTTTCTGGTCTGCTCTGCCCATTCATTTCCCCAGGTGGCCTTCGCCTTCTGGGCTCCTTCCTCTAAAAAAAGGTAAAGGTACCCCTGCCCGTACAGGCCAGTCTTGACAGACTCTAGGGTTGTGCGCCCATCTCACTCAAGAGGCCGGGGGCCAGCGCTGTCCGGAGACACTTCCGGGTCACGTGGCCAGCGTGACAAGCTGCATCTGGCAAGCCAGCGCAGCACACGGAACGCCGTTTACCTTCCCGCTGGTAAGCAGTTCCTATTTATCTACTTGCACCCGGGGGTGCTTTCGAACTGCTAGGTTGGCAGGCGCTGGGACCAAACGACGGGAGCGCACCCCGCCGCGGGGATTCGAACCGCCAACCATGCGATCGGCAAGTCCTAGGCGCTGAGGTTTTACCCACAGCGCCACCTGTGTCCCGCTCCTTCCTCTACTTTCTCCCTAATTCTGCCCCGTTTTCTAAACCAGTCTTCCTGTCTAACCTCCCTGCAGGATCTGAGCAGCTCTGCTCAGGAGGAAAGGACCCAATCCTCATTCTGTAGCCTGAAGGTGACACAGAGGCCTCTAGGGATCCCTTTCTCTCCTCCTCTCCTCCCCACACCCCTGACCAGAAAGTGAGTTTGGCTCAGGTGGACAAAGTCAGAATCCAGTGCTTGGGGCATGCCCTTCTTCCTCCACCCCGGAGCTCCTTTAGACAGAGGTTTCTGGATACCAAATGAAAAACATTCATAACTGATGTCAGCAATTTGCCACACATGTTCTCCTCTGACCATTATTAATAAGATAGATGCAGAATGCAAACGTGATCAAAATGCTCACTTTTGTGGCTTGAAACGAGTGAATTCAATCAACAATTGTATCTGAACAAATTTTAACTAACTTACTGATTGCCTGACATATTTTTCTTCCAACGCTTGCATGTGTGCTTGTAAACAGAAGAATGAAGATAAAGGAGGTGATACATTCAAGGAGTAGAGGCGAACCTGCAGAAGTGTCTTCAAAATTCCCCTATGAGGATCATGTATGCTCTAAAGAATGTCTTGCCAAAAGGCCATGGAATTCATACAAGGATGAAAACCCTCTTCATCTGCCAATGCTGTGTCGCTTCCAAAGATGGCATGCCAAACCAGATTATGTGTCAAAGTCACACAATGTTATATACAAAGCTCCCTGTGGAAGGAGTCTGAGAAATTTTCAAGATGTTCAGAATTATTTGTTTCAGACAGAGTGCACTTACTTATATTTAGATCACTTTTCTTTCAATACCTATGTACAGGTGTTTAGAAACAATCCTAGTTGCCAGCCCTTTGTGTTTGATTTTGATATCAGCAACGGGGCAGAGACAATACCAGTTTCTTTCTGTAATGACATAGACCACGACCGACTACCTTACTTTAAATATCGGAAGGTCTCTTGGCCCCATGGATACTTCTTGAACAATTTCTCCAGCATGTTTATTGACTCATGCAGTTGCACAGATGGCTGCACAGACAGGTATGTATTCTAAACTTACTGTTCAGCACTGCAAATACCCTTGGACATATTTACATGTATATTGAGGCAGAGTGGTGTGCAGCATTTAATCTACAGATTTGCAAAGAGTTAGCAGCTTTAAACTGCATTGCCAAAGGTGAGGACTTACCTGATTTCTACAAATAATCAGAGTTCAAGCATGGACCCTGTATTCTATTCTTACGCTTTTCATAAAAAGGGCCTAGACCAGTGCAGTCCTGGGTTTAATTTAAAGAGTGGGTGTTGGGGGCTGGACTAAGGAGGAATGGTGGGAGCCCCCCCCCTTCTCCTGAACCTTCCCAAGAACAGGAGGACAGTATAGATTTAGAACAGTGGTTTGCAGAAGGCCATAGTTCAGAGACTGCAGAGGAGAGAATCTGGGGAATATTGGGAGAGGAACTGCAGGAAAAAGCACTGGGGGAGAGACAGCTGACAGACTCAGTGTCCTTGGAAAGCATTCCTGATGCCCACTCTCCCAGAACCAGGCGGGCATTGAGAGTAGTAGAACAGAAACCTCAGAGGCAGAAAGCTCAGATCAGCCGGTGCAGCGATGACGTAGAATAGGAGAGACGGAGAGGATTGGACTTTACTCGGAGCAATGCCATTATTTAATAGAGACTGCATTCCTTCGTGTCTCTCTCTGAATAAATTATGTGGTAAGAACTCTTCTCGTTTATCTGCTTTTTGGTTGCCCCTGGGGGAGGAATTGGATACCTTGAAGCCTGACAGTGGGGTACACTAATGTACTTTTCAAAACTGTTTACTGAAAAGTCTTTTTAAACATGCAGAGAACATAAAAAGCTTTAAATAAGCAGCTCTGTTAAATGGAAAGGATCGTAATATTTAACTTGCTGGCTAAGCTGTCTTTCTTGAGACAGCTATTGGCTCGCTGTGCTACCTATCAGCTCCTTTGAAAATTTAATGATTAAACACATGTCCAGAGAGTAAATGGGCTATATTGCTTTATTTCATATCCTTATTTGCACTAGATCTACTGTGTGCTTTCTAGGACAAAATGTGCATGTCTGCTTCTAACTGAAAGAAACTGCCATGAAGCTTCTGTGTCTTCAGGAAAAGAAGCATCTAATGGATATAATTATAAAAGACTCGATGGACCTGTGCCCAGCGGGTATGCAACCCCAACTTTATTTTTACCTGAAGGCCAGACATGGTGGTTCCATTGTGTCCTTAATTCAAGCTGTCTTGTTTTGGTCATGTAGAGAATGGGAACCCCATTGCTTTGCTGTTCTATTTTAAGTGGCAGCTTTCAGCTTAACAGAAGAAAAGTGTAGCATTGAACTTGCCCCAGAAAAAAAAACTAAAAAAAAGGGTATCCTGGATCCTAGTAGACAAGATTGGGCAACAAATACGATGGAAATTGTGGTTCTCATGTACTAGCAGTTCCTTTATTTATATTATAAATTTATCGCAAGATACATTGGCCTAGCACCATCAGTATCAATGTTTAGATGCCAAGCAAGTACTTTCCTGCATTTGACTCTTAATTGGGGTCAGATAGTATGATACTCTAACCTACATTGATGTTCAGTTTTTAGTAAGCTGAGATAAAAGTTTTTATGTTATTGCAAGATGATTACTTTGTTAATAATATTGCTTTATCTTTTTGAAGTACTTGAAATGTGTTATGTATGCTTTAATAATAACTAGTGTATACATATAATAATGATGATGATGGAGTGATAGCACAGTCAGAGCATGAGAATCTTAATCTCATCTCCACATTGGGTGAAAGATTCTACTTTGCAGGGGTTTGGACTGGATGACCCTTGTGGTCCCTTCTAACTCTTCTAACTCTAGAATGTTAAGTGGCCGAGGTTTTGAGATCTCCAGGGGAGTCCCTATTGGCACATTTGCTTACCTGTAAGGTTCATAAGACAGTGTTGCATGAGATGGCCTTTTCTTTAATGGCCCTCAGGTTGTGGAGTGCTCTCCTGTCTAAGGTGTGTCTGGCCACATGATTATGGACATTTTGACAACTGGTCATACAAGCACAAGCCTTTTTATGAAGTTTACAGTTTGTTTGTGTTGAGCTGTATGGGATGACATGCTAAAAGGTGAGCTAAATAAATAGAAACATACTCTAACAACCAAAAATATGGGCGTTATGCCCTGATAAAAATGGTTCCTCCCACCTGACCCAACACTCTGGAGCAGATTTCGAGGGTGCCCAGCAGGCTGCAGGGTTAAGGAGGGAGAAATTCCTTTGTGCAGGTGGACGCTTGCTGTGCAAGTTGGAACTGCAGTGTTTGATACAAGCCCCTAACTATAAATACTGAATGTGTGGGCTATACATTTTCAGAATGCATCATCACACTGTACTGTTGGTACTTCCATGTTAGGATCCTTTTATTGTATATTGCTACTCCTCTTGCTTTCTCATTTCCTTGCGCTAATTAAGCCTAACTCAGCCTCATACTATTCATACATTTGCTGTTTCCTATAGCAATGTGGATCTCTTGCATTGAGGCTTGTATTTTCTTCTGTAGGTATTCCAAATATTGTAGGTGCTAGCAGTTATGCTAGCAGTGCATATTGCTGCTTCAGTTTCCTCATCTAAACATGCAGCAGCTCCTGAGAAAGTGCTGGAGCTCCAAGAGGATCCTCTTGTCCTCAGCGTTGTTCACTCAGCTGCTCTCCCCACCCTCTGAAATATTGAACCTGTAATGCTGCTGTTTTCTTTTTGTGGCAGAATTTATGAATGCAGTGTGTTATGCAGCTGTGACAAGATTATGTGCCAGAACAGATTAGTGCAGCATGGTCTTCAGGTTCGGCTGCAGGTCTTCAAAACTGAAAAGAAGGGCTGGGGAGTCCGTTGCCTTGATGACATTGACAAAGGAACTTTTGTTTGTACATACTCAGGTAATTTAATGTAGTCCATATTTTTATTTTTTTATTGCTTTTTCACAAATAGATATACATATGCAAATATCTTCTTCCATTTCCTTTAGTTATATAAACTATATTCTTACTTACATTCATTGCATTTTCCTTTTCAACATACTAAAACAGTCACCAAAATACAAATCCCACCCAAAAGTCAACTTGGAGGCGGGGGAGAACCATCCTTCAAATAGTTCCAAAGTAGAACCTGCGTATCTTGGTAGAAAATTCATGGTTAACATTAGACACTTGTGAGGCAGTAACTGGAATATTGATTGTTCATAGAGGAAATGGATGGTAAAAATAGGTTCCAAGTGTTATGAGCTTATACATATGTACAGTAAACATGGCAGAACCCATCGCTCTCTTGTCTTGGGGGAGCCATCCAAACTGGTGGTAACTAACTCTATAGTTTTAACTATGTGCTGGCCATCTTCCAAATACCAGGTCCAAAGAGAGGACTGGAGATGCACAAAGTCTTCTCAGTCTGCATAATGGCCCAGCACGCCTGGCATTCACAGGAAGAGAGAAGACAGATGGGTGTCTTGCCCACACTTGAATAAATCATGCCCCAACTCCTGCTTAGTTTTTTTAAAAAGAAGTCCAAATCCAAAATACCCATTGTAAGAAGCATGGAAGCCTGCTGTTGCCTGCAGCCAGCATGGATCCCTCCATATATGGAGAAATCAATTTGATTCATTTAAATAACCCCAATTATCCTTACCATAGAATGTAAACCACACTGAAATTATTTAAAGCTGCTATATAGAGAGCTTGTTTGGGGCTTATTGCTATTCTGGAACCTGATTATTTTATACTTACATAACAGGAATGGGATGAGAATTATGGAGAGAAGGGGGAGAAGTGTTTTTCTTTCCTTCTTCCTGAAGCATTGCTAGATAATGCAGGGAGGGATGTCTTGGCCCCTCCAGCCCGAATCTTCCCCCAGGGTGCTTAGGATAAGCTGTTAGGGACTTTGGCAGGCCACTCCCTCCCCACCCCCCTTTCCTCTCCATTCCCCCCACCCTCACTTATCAACTGACACTGTAGTGTTTTGTGCATCGTGGAAGCTCATGATTCAAAGTTCAATGTGCCTAACAAGTTCCCAGGCTATGCAGAAAACACCGTCTTGTTTTGGGATGGCCCAGTTTCACTTCCAAACCCATGAGAACTCAAGTACTCAAGGGCAGCCATGCTGACCTCTAGAATACTCTACTCCACCGGCAGCCCCATTTCCTCCGCCCATTTTTCACATTCTGTGACTGCTGAGCATCCTCAGTCTTCATTGGAGTTTCGCCTTAAACACTGTGTTGTGCTGACCTTGAGGTTCCCCTGAACATACTGATATTTTTCTCTTGTTTCTCAGTGGCCCCATTTGGACTCAGTTATGTTGGAACTAATCGCCTGAGTTCACTTTTAGAGTCAGTAATGTTAGGATTAAAACTTACATTTGGAAGATTTTGAGTGCATTCATTGCTTCTGCAAACACCCATAACCATCTGTTTCACTGCAAATACTAGAATATAGAATATATCCTTTTTTTCTTTAGGCAAACTGATGAGCAAAGATGAATCCAGGCAACCTAAAGATAAAGGTGGTGAGGTTAAAGAGGAAGATCCAGAGAATGGTGACAGAAGCCACACTTTATTTAAAAAAAGGATAAAACTGGATATGTTCTGTTCTGATTCAGAGATTGAAGTTATCCAAACCACTAGGAAGCAAAAATCTTTGCCTGTAAAAGGTGAAGATCAGCTAAGCGTGTAAGTTCAAGTAACAGTTTTGGGAGTCACTGTGAGTTCTATCCAAGATCTCCATGGCCAGTAAACTCCATCAAAGAAAAGCTCAGCAGCTCAGGCCATTCTTTATGTTTGGAGCAAGTGAATATCCCAGGCATTCTTTCCTCCAGGCTTCCCTTCCTTTATTCTGATCATCCTTCTCCCTCACTTGGGAAGGAAGGACTGGCCTTATCAGTTGCTGACATTGACCCTGGCCTTGTCCAGCTAGTGCAGTGGTCAGCCATTTATATTTTGTGTTGTTCCTTCCCAATACCACTGGCACAAAAAATGTTAATAACAATTGTAGTGGCAGCATGGTAATGTCTTTTGTTGGACCGGTTCTGGAAACCTTTCAAGTTAGAAATAACATTTCACATATCTAATGAAATAGTAGAGAACAGCTTGTCAACTTTAGTTCAGCATTTCTTCCAGTATGATTGCATCTTCAGAACTAAAAGCCACGAAGGATTTTGAACACTTGGTCCTAATTCCCTGACTCCCTCATTTATCTGAGGTTCAAGAAGTTAAATTTATGTACACTTAAGAAAACAAAAACCCTTAATATTGACAAGTGGGTTAACCTTTAGCCTGCTTTAAAACTCTGTGATAGGAAATTGTCTTCAGAGTATAAATGCTACTAAATGCTAATGTTTCTGCCTTGTAAAACTTCCATATAATGTTTGGTAAGAAATTTGCTTTGTCCTTTTGAAATTGTAAAATTTATAGGAAGAATATTTTATAATTCATTGTGCACGTTGCATAAAGTCCTTTATCCATTTCTCTTTAGAATTCAGAGTTGTCAAAGCTACAGCTGTAACAGTACTCAGACTTACAAAGCTGTCACAAGACCGAAAACTCGAACATCTGTTCTTCAGAAACATCAGCGGCAACTAGTAAAAATTCTACCTTTTTTTGTCTTCAAGGAGTTCCACCTGCTTTCTCTGTCTATTCTTTTCTCAGCTATCAAAATGATTTGTGGTACAACAAAATCTGTTACTAGCTTGCTACTTCCTTCTCTTTTCCACCATGTAAAATGTGTATTTCTACACCTCAGTGAGATTGTACCCTTGTTTTGTGAGAAGTGAGGGGATGACCTGCCCACTCCTATTACAGGGTGCAGGTAGCCAAGTCTGTGTCGTCCTACAGCTGCTGCTGCTGCTTCTACTCCTCAAGTCACCATAGGCAAAGTGATGAAGAGTGTGGATAAAAGCTTTCTTGTTCAGTCTGCCCATTGAAAAGGGGAGTGCAGTGGGCAGAAAATACTATTCTAAAATTTCTATGGACCATGGGAAAGTTGCTACAGTAGACAGTGAATTGTATCCAGCTATGTCAAAGAGTAGACCCTTTGAAATTTACAATCTACTCTGAGGATGTCTTAGCAAATCTTAGTTGATTACATCACGGTGGCAAAAGAATATTCACAGAATGTTTATGTCTTGCAAGGGGGAGTGGGGAAAGTGATTTCTGTCACATACTTTCCGCACACTGCAGCGTAAATAAAATACCTTTTATTTCCAGACCCTATTTTCAGGTAATCCTGCATTACAATGTGCAAGGCATTGGGCTCTGGAAAGTGGCCATTTTATTCCTCACCATGTCAAGGTAACCTGTTAAAAAAAGAAGTGTAGGCTATGAGCAAAGAGCAAACTATTGATTATGAACTTTTCTTCTGAGGGAATTGCTGGTGCCAGTTCAGATGATGATGGAAGTTCTGTGTGCCAGAAATCATCAAGAAGTAAACTAACTGCTGCAGCCAAGAAAGGAGATGAAAGTAAGTTACTCTAGGTGGGGTGTGACCAAGGCAGAATGCAGTGGCTTCCCTTTGACTTCCCTTGATCTGGACCCTGTACTTCTGTTGATGCAGCCTGGAATAGCATTAGCTTTTATTGCTACTGCATCATACTGTTGACTCATGTTAAGCATGTGGTCTACTAAAACCTCTAGATTTTTTCGCATATTTCCTATATTTGTGCAGCTGGTTATTCCTGCGTAAGTGTAGAACTTTATATTTGTCCCTATGCCTTCTACATTTGTCCCTATTGAAATTCATTTTGTTCATTTTGGCCTAGTTCTCCAATCTGTTGAGGTAATTTTGAATCCTAATTCTATCTTCTGAGGTATTTGCTACCTCTCCTAATTTTGTGTCATCTGCAAATTTGATGAGTATCCCCTCAATTCTTTCATCAAAGTTATTTAAAAAGATGTTGAACACCACCAGGCCTAGGACAGAACCCTGAGGTACCCCAATTGTCAGTTTTTTCCCAGGATGGTGAGGAATCATTGGGTTAGGCCAGTCAACATCCAAACAGCAACTTGTCATTGTACACTGGAGACTTTTAATAACAGCATGAATGTTTGATATTGAAACTGTTGGACAAGTTTAACTTGATGTTCGCTAATGATACGCTATCCTGAAATGTGTGTTGACAGAATCAAGTCTACAAGAAGAGCTTGGTGAAATGGTGAGCATCGTACAGTCCGAAGGTAGTGTAGACTGTGTTAAAGAGAATCCTCTTTTCAACACCACTTTGAACAGTAAGCCAGCTGTGCAAGATGACAGAGAGATTAAAAAAAAAAGCAAGGAGCTATTCTGGACTCAAGATATACACAAGAAAAGTTTCAAGAGAGGGAGAAGAGAATCTGCTCATAAAAAGCGAGCAACGGAAGATAGCAAAGCATTCCTAAAGAATAAGGAGAGCCCATGTTTGCTGGATGCAACCAAGGAAGGCAATGTGGGCAGATTTCTTAATGTAAGTAACAGTGGTATGTGTGTCCGGTTTAAAGCCGGCTATTGTGTTGCAGAAATCTATTCTGAATATGAACCACCTCCCTCCCTTGTAAACAGTGCACATCTGGTCCCCAGGCCCCATTTTTGCTTTTGGCATTACTGGCTGCTCCATGCCAGTATCTTTTATGGCCTTGGCTTACTGTTTCCCTACAAGGGAGGGAAATTTGTGGCCCTCCAGATGTTGTTGGACTGCAGCTCTCATCAGCCCCCGCCAGCAAGACCAGTGGTCAGTGATGATGGGAACTGTAGTCCAGCAAAATGTGGAAGGACAAAAGTTCCCCACCCTTCCCTACATTAACAGCTGAGATCCACGGTCAGCACCCTTGTCAGCTTTCCAGTTTGCCTGTGCATCAACAGGCACATGTCCAATCTCATGCCTGGCATTCTGCCTGCAGTTCACGGAGCTCCTCCTTCATACTGTGTGTGGCTGGGTGTTTCACCCTCAAGGCTTAGCTTGCAAGATAGTATGAAATGCTTGTTTCGCTCAGACATAGGAGGCTTGCTGCATTCAAGTTAACTGGGATTCTTTGCTGTGCATGTCTGCAGCTGCTATTCCAACCCTGTCCTGTGCTGGCAGCCCCCTCCATGGAGGCAGAGGTTTGGTCCCTGAGCAATGTTCTTCCCTTTTACTGCCTAGCATCCCAGAGAGAGTGATCCTTTTGCTTTAGCAGTTTGGCATTGAGAAGGGTGCCAGTGTGTCTCCCCTATTTTCAAGCACCCACACTGCTGTTCTAGCAGGATTGCCCTTGGCTGTCAGATCAAGATTCTTCAGGAACACGGGCAATAAAGCAATGCATAGTCATCTCAATATTATTGTCACAAAATCTTACTCGTTTAAAAGTAGATCCCTGCTCTGCCTCCTGTACTGTTGATGTTAAGTATCTGTTTTGGGATCAAAGGGAATATATTGCTGTAAAACAAGAGCACTTTAGAGGTTTTTTTTTCTAAACTAACATTTGCACAAGAAAGTATATTAATAGCAGAACCTGTCATTTTAACTTTCATTGGTTTGTTCCGTTTACAGCACAGCTGCTCCCCTAATCTCTTTGTACAGAGTGTATTTGTAGAGACCCACAACAGAAATTTCCAGTGGGTGGCATTCTTCACAAACAGGTTTGATGTATTTTATTGCTTTCATCTTCATCCCACTGAAAGAGCAAAAAAATGTTTCCAACTAGGGGGGCGGGGAAAGAGTACAAAACCTAGAACCTGTGCTTTGACGTTGATCTTTACAGCCTAGGTTTCAGCACACACTTTGCTGCCATCCAACCAATGCTTTATTTTGCTAGAAAAATACTGTGGCAGGAGTTCTTTTTATAAAGACAAAATGTGTGTCTGTGTGAGATTGTCGGTTGCTGCTTAAGCTATAATGGCACATCTCTGCATGCACTACTATGACAGAAGTGGGTGCTTAACTTACATGACTTCAAGGGGCAAGGAACAGCTCAGTACACTAAACTGAGTAATGATTTGTTTCCTTTATCCTGGTTAAGGAAACAAGCCATAATTAAGCCGTAATTGGATTTGCACAAGCCTTGTGTACCTGTAGAAATGGAAAAAGAAACCAAGAAACAATTGCATTATAGTTTTCCACTGCATGCAAATCAGGAACTATGGTTTAGCTCACAAAGAAGCCAGAATTCAGATATGAACAAACGATCGTAATGGGAAGCTGTGGTTAATTGCAGCTTTTTGGTTTGTTTCCCTGCTTAAAGGGGCTGCAAGTACATAACTAAAAATTCTCCCTCTTCAATTACCTGCTGTCTCTTCAGTTGCATGTTGGGAATGTTGGCTTGCTGATAACTATAATTGTTTTGCATAGCCAATGTTGAAATTATAATCTCCAGTTGCCCAACCCTGCAAAATGAATTGTAGTTTTCACTTGACAGATCTGCAAACTGAGGCTAAAAGATAATGTCCATACAATTCATGATTTGGCTTTCAGCTCAGGACACAAGAATTTACTGACTTTGTTCTTTAGTTGAAAGACACTTCACTAGACAGTTTCGTGACCATCTTCTTTAGTTTATTATTCACTGTCTTCTGTTTTGTGTTGCTGAAAGTTCCCAATTTGAAATTTGGTAGGGTTTGCTCAGCCCCCAAATCTGGAAGATCCCACATGATAAGTTTGCCATCTCTTGGTCATGCTGAGCCAAGACTCAGTTGGAAGGTACTTCAAAAGAGAAGGCCCCAATTCCTTTAGGTGTCACTATTCCTCGTTTGGTATTCCAGACCTTTCTTTCCCCCCTGCTGTTGCTGTGAGGAGAGCGGGGGGGGGGGTGAGAACTCGCCCCCATCACCTCACTCGACTTACGGCAGGCTCACAGCCACAGAGAAAGAGGGCACATAGATTTAATCGTCTCCCATTTTGGTCAGGCTGTTTTATGCATAGAAAAGGTTGTCACAGTGGGCTGGTTTTAGGAAAGGAGAGGAGGCATCATGCCACAGGGTCCCCATTTTTATGGGACCCTCATGGCAAAAGACCTGTCTGCATGATATCAACTTCTTACCTCCCCAAATGGCATGCATTTTGCTCACAAGGTAAAAGTGACTGATTTTATGTAGAGTGCCTTCCCCTCATTATAAAATAATCCCATTGCAATAGGTGAGTGTGAAGTTGTGCTTGTGGGTAGTTTTACACCCTGTCTTAACTGTTGAGCATAAAAAATCCTGGTTGCCTTTGGTTGCTGTTCTATTCACTGTGTGATATGTTTGTATCCTAGGCATGTAAAGGCTGGAACAGAACTCACATGGGATTATGGCTATGAAGCTGGAAGCATGCCTGAAACAGAGACTACTTGTCAGTGTGGTGCTCATAAGTGCAGAAAAAAATATTATAGAGTTTTTTAGTCTTGTTAGTTGAGGTATTTTCAACGTTTTCCAGACCCAATACCCACTTTGAACCCAAACATATTTTGGGACATACAATGGTACCTCGGGTTACATACGCTTCAGGTTACAGACTCCGCTAACCCAGAAATATTACCTTGGGTTAAGAATTTTGCTTCAGGATGAGAACAGAAATTATGCTCTGGCGGCGCGGTGGCAGCAGGAGGCCCCATTAGCTAAAGTGGTGCTTCAGGTTAAGAACAGTTTCAGGTTAAGAACGGACCTCCAGAACGAATTAAGTACTTAACCTGAGGTACCACTGTAATTTCTTTTACCATATATTTGCACAGTGGTAGTGCTTCTGTTGCAATCCACCTTGGATCAGGCTGCGACTCACTAGAGGGTCCCGACCCACTAGTTGAAGACTAGTGCATTAGCATTTAAGGTACAGAAAGGTATTGTGTTACTGTAGGCCAGTTCACATGAACATGTTTATCAGATATAATTGCAGTTGTCTCTTGATAGCTGTTTGACAGCTGAACAGGCTCTTGGAAGGTGGACTCCCCCTTCACTTTTTAAGCAGAGGTTGGGTGGCTAACTGTCATGGATGCTTTAGTTGAGATTCCTCCATTACATGGGGTCCCTTCCAACTGCACTTGTATGATTCTATGGAGCTTTAGCATGCTAGCACAAATAGAGATATAATAAGCATGCTGCTTGACAACCACTGACACAACGGTTCATGGGAACTGGCCCGAAACCTCTCTCAGAAAAAGAAATCTGTCTTAATAAAAACAGATTTTGAAGGAGTTGGTCTAATGGGACTTTCATAGAATGAAATAGGTAAAGGTAAAGGTACCCCTGCCCGTACGGGCCAGTCTTGACAGACTCTAGGGTTGTGCGCTCATCTCACTCTAGAGGCCGGGAGCCAGCGCTGTCCGCAGACACTTCCGGGTCACGTGGCCAGCGTGACCAAGCTGCATCTGGCGAGCCAGAGCCACACACGGAAACGCCGTTTACCTTCCCGCTGGTAAGCGGTCCCTATTTATCTACTTGCACCCAAGGGTGTTTTCGAACTGCTAGGTTGGCAGGCGCTGGGGCCGAACGACGGGAGCGCGCCCCGCCGCGGGGATTCGAACCGCCAACCATGCGATCGGCAAGTCCTAGGCGCTGAGGCTTTTACCCACAGCGCCACCCACGTCCCTCATAGAATGAGATAGTTGTATATAAATACCTTTCTCCTCTTCACTATCAAATTTAGTTTCAAGTACCTGGTTATTTGTGAGATACTTTCATAACAAGGTTGAGACTCTTTTCAGCTCAATCAGATCAGCTTTGGCCTCACAGGTAGGCAAGATCTAGATACCTATGCACTTAAGATGTACCTGCTTCTATGATCAAGCCACTATTCTGTTAAAAACTCATTTTTGCTATTTGCTCTCTGGAGGTATTATTTGAATCAGATTTTACTACCACACTTAAGACTTCTAAGGATGTATCTGCTTTGTTTTCATCTAAAGACAACAGCAACATACATACATACATACATACATACAAGTGAACACCAGGTCTAAGGCATGTCTGCAACTGAGTTGGGCCAGGCTTATTCAAGGACAGCCCCATGGAGGCTATGCTTTCCACGAAGTCCCGAGCAGCCCCTTTTAAGATTGTGTCAGCATGGATGTTGAAATCCCCTAGGACAACCAAACTAGGTGTTTCCAGGAGAACATCCGCCATGACCTGAAGCAGCTCAGGCAGGGAATCCTTGGTGCAGTGGGGAGGAATCCTGTACTGCCCCTATTGTCCAACTTCCAGAACATGCACTCAGAAAACTGGATCTTCCCAATAGGACGTCTGGTGCAAACTAATGACTTCCTAAAAACCACTGCAACACCCCCCTCCCCACCCATAAGACCTTGGTTGCTGTGCGTAAGAGAAACCTGGTGGACCAGCAGCGGCAAGAACCGGCCCATCTGCTTCATCCAACCAAGTCTCTCTTACACATGCCAGGTCAAGTCTTATGCTTAACACCAAAAAAACCAAAGAACTCATAATTGACTTTAGGAAAAAGAAAAGTGTATTTTTACCATTGCACATAAATGGCGAGGAGGTGGAGAGGGTTGGTAGTTTTAAATACCTGGGCATTTATATCTCTGAGGACCTCTCATGGACTGCAAATATTAATATGGTTGTGAGGAAGGTGCAGGGGAGGTTGTATTTCCTGAGAATGCTCAGGGGACTGAATCTATCTCAGCACCTACTTCTGTCCTATTATCACAGTACCATCGAGAGTGTCTTAACCTATAGTATATTATCGTGGTATGGGAGCAGCTCTGAAACGGATAAAAAAGCTTTACAGAGAATAATTAAAATTGCCCAGAATGTTATTGGGCTCCAACTACCAACCCTGGATGAGATCTTCACGTCTCGCACTTTGAAGAAGTCACACAATATCCTGAGAGATCCCACCCATCCTGCTCACAACTTCTTTGAACTGTTGCCTTCGGGCAGAAGATATAGGACAATGAAAACACGAACCACACGCCTTCTGAATAGTTTCTATCCAAGAGCTCTGATTGCACTAAATAATGATCTCAGGGCCAGTTGCAAGGAATAGCAAGCAGGGAGTAGGAAGGAATGAGATAGGTTTTAGGTTATGTTATGCCTTTAATAGGTTATGTTATATTCTGGATTATGTTATGTTTTTATAGATTATGTCTGAATAGGATGAGAGTGTTGGAGATACGTGCAAATGTGTATGTGAACCCGGTCTTTGGGTGGGTGTTTGATTTTCGTTGTTGTGTATACTGTGTATATACGGACAATGACAATAAATTTATCTAAAGTCCTCCATCCACGATCAAGTCATGGATGACAGCCGTCATGTGAGTCATTGACCTGGCATTGCACAACAGCTCCTTAAGGTCGTGTGGGTCTCCCTTGTTGATTCCAGTATCCTTCTAGTCAGGATCAGACCCGGAGGCAGAGATAGCCTTCAAACAACGACTAAACCTGCCTCCTCGGGAATGACGTGGTCTGGTCTTAGCGTAACTCCTCCTCCTGCCTGTGATCACTGAAATTGGGTGTCCCAGTGCATTTGCCCCTGTTGGCTGGGGCCCACTCCCAGGCAGCATTGACCATCTCCCCTTAAGAACAATATATAAACAATACAATAACCAAAAACACTGTGGGGGGGGGGAAATAAAATTATACCTAAACTAAACTGGAGCTGGATCCTCTTCAAAAGAAGGATTCTGGTTTTTCCAATTGCAAACATCCGCGCTTGTAAATGGCGCATGTTGCATAGTAAAAGTGCGTGGAGGCTGGTTGCCCTTGGCGTTAAGCGGCTCCAAGGGGTCATACACCCGGCGGAGCGGGGCCACCAGATTGGACCAGGCAGGGGTATGGGGCCTTTGAGTTTTTTACCCCGAAAAAAATACTCTTTTGTACTGCCTTTTTGTCCACTTCACCTCCTTTTCTAAGTCCTTCTAAATTCTTCAATCCCAGCAACATTTTCCTCCTCGCTTTCCTCCTCATCCTCTCTCTCTCTCTCTTTGTGTGTGTGTGACACTGACACAAAGATGAAGTACGTTAACAAGGTAACACAGGTGATAATTGCAGAAGATTGCAGGTGATACTCTGACATCTAAAATCATTCACACAAACAGAAAGCTTAAAAGCACACAAAAAATGTACCAGATGATGGCTTTTCTCAAGGTTAAATGTGATTATAGCATGTTGTTTAGTCATGTCCGAGTCTTCGTGACCCCATGGACAAAAGCACACCAGGCACTTCTGTCTTCCATTGCCTCCCGCAGTTTGGTCAAAGATTATAGCATATACACACACAAATTGCAGGCAGAGATTACCGTATTTTTCGCCCTATAAGACACACTTTTCCCCCTCCAAAAATGAAGGGGAAATGTGTGTGCGTCTTATGGGGCGAATGCAGACTCCTTGGCTTCAGCGATAGCAACGCGAAGCCTCTGAAGCCTGCACTCCGGAGGCTTCATGTTGCTTCCGCTGAAGCCAGGAGAGTCTGCTCTTTGAGGCTAGCGGTGGGGAAAGCAGCGCTTCCCCCATCGCCAGCCCCAGAGGATGGGGGGCAGCAGGAAGGTGCGCGACGCCTTCCCGCTACTCTCCAACCCTCCTCTGGGCTTTTGCGAGAGATGGGGTAATTCCCCCACCTCCCGCAAAAGCAGGCAAAAGCCACGCGCTCTTTAAAGGGGCTCCGCGGCTTCTGCTTGCTTTTCTACGAGGGGGGGAATCCCCCCACCTCCTAGAAAAGCCTGCAGGAGGCGCGCACCCTTTAAAGAGCGAGCGGCTCTTGGGGGCTTTTCCCCAAGGAGGGAGAAGGGACTGACTGGCAGAGTCAGTCCCTTCTCCCTCCTGCTGGCTTTTGCGGGGATGGGGGAATTCCCCCACCTCCCGCAAAAGCCCGCAAAAGCCTCGCTCTCTTTAAAGGGGCTCCATGGCTTCTGCTGGCTTTTCTACGAGGGGTGGGGGAATTCCCCCATCTCCTAGAAAAGCCCGCAGGAGCCGCGCACCATTTAAAGAGCGTGCCGCTCTTGGGGGCTTTTCCCCGAGGAGGGAGAAGGGACTGACTGGCCGTTTCAGTCCCTTCTCCCTCCTGGTCGAAAAGCCCGCAGGAGTCACGCGGGGCTCCTGTGGGCTTTTGCGGGAGGTAGGGAAATTCCACCACCTCCCGCAAAAGCAGGGAGAAGGTCTTGGAGTAGCGCACAGGCTGCGTGCAGCCTGTCCACTGCTCCCAGAGCTGCGGGGGGGGGGAAATCATATTTTTTTCCTTGATTTCCCCCCTTGAAAACTAGGTGCGTCCTATGGGCCGGTGCGTCCTATAGGGCGAAAAATACGGTAAATCACAAAAGAATGAGATCCTCCCGGAAGGTAGCATACTACTGTAATTATCCTACCTTTGCCTCTAAGATATGCTTGTTTTAAATTCTTTCTGCAGAATATTCACTGGGAAAGGGAGTTTTGTTGGGCTGCACTTGAAAGTTGATTGACTTTTTTCCGACAGTTTTCCCCTATTATTATTTATCTGCAAGTAATTTTAATCTTGATATACATATTCACGTACTTAATTGACTTAGGACAGTGGTTCAGCTAAAATTAGGGCACTACAGTAGGTTAAGTGCTACCTGCTGTATGGCTGAATTTTCTTATAAGAAAACATCTGATAACAGTTTGAAAGGGTAGTCCTATTAAACAGGGGGGACGTGGGTGGTGCTGTGGGTTAAAGCCTCAGCGCCTAGGACTTGCCGATCAAAGGGTCGGCGGTTCGAATCCCCGCGGCGGGGTGCGCTCCCGTCGTTCGGTCCCAGCGCCTGCCAAACTAGCAGTTCGAAAGCACCCTCGGGTGCAAGTAGATAAATAGGGACCGCTTACTGGCGGGAAGGTAAACGGTGTTCCGTGTGCTGCGCTGGCTCGCCAGATGCAGCTTGTCACGCTGGCCACGTGACCCGGAAGTGTCTCCGGACAGCGCTGGCTCCCGGCCTATAGAGTGAGATGAGCGCACAACCCTAGAGTCTGGCAAGACTGGCCCGTACGGGCAGGGGTACCTTTACCTTTACCTATTAAACAGGAGGAATAAGCAACTAATGCTGACTTTCAGATAAGTCACATCAGAACTCAAAGAAACAGCAAAGAAAGAGCACACACTGTATTCAGAATGTTTAAGAACCCATAGTAGACACTGACTTGGTGACCATGCTAAGTATAAACTCATTTCTGCATCTGAATGGCATACAGAAGGAGACAGAGTGCAACTCAACTTCTAACACCAACTTTTTGCATATCTATCTAATTAGATTAATTAATCTTAATTAAGATTCCCGGCCAACGCACCACGAAATGTAGCCTTATTAGACTTTACCAATTGGTAGGGTGAGTGTTGCTCCCAGAACAGGTAGCAAGGAGTCAAATGACACTGAGGTTTGGTTCAGAGAAAGAGTTTATTCTGCTCTCCAGATAGCAGAAGGCACTGCATGAATCGGTTCATGGTTTCCCCAAAGTAACAACCTTGTGCTTGTCATCCAAATAAAGTGGTAAACCATTTTGGAAGTTTTAGAATAGACGTGTTGTGTTCTTAGCAGCTGTGCATCCTTCAACTGACAGGCGTTCTATAATCAGTTGAAGCTGCTGAAACAGTCCCAACTGCAGAGCTAAGTAGAGTTTGTTATTCTGGTCTCATGTGGAACCAGGGCATGGATGACATATATATATATATATATATATATATATATACGCACACGCACGCACACACACGCACACACACATACATACAGTGGTGCCTCGCAAGACGAAATTAATCAGTTCCGCGAGTCTCTTCGTCTTGCGGTTTTTTCGTCTTGCGAAGCGCGGCTATTAGCGGCTATTAACGGCTTAGCGGCTTTAAGAAAAAGGAAACAAACTCGCAAGAACTCGCAAGACGTTTCGTCTTGTGAAGCAAGCCCATAGGGAAATTTGTCTTGCGGAACAACTCAAAAAACGGAAAACTCTTTCGTCTAGCGAGTTTTTCGTCTTGCGAGGCATTCGTCTTGCGGGGCACCACTGTATATATATTGAAGTGTCTCAGTTGGAGTTGGAGAAAAGGACTCATAGCTGCTCACCTAGGAACAAAGGCTGCACTCAGAAGTATCCCCAAAGCATAATCCTGCTCCTTAAAGGATCCTGTCAAGAGAAGAAAATAGGCATTTTTGCAGACGATGTGTCCTTAGACATTGGTACATTGTCATTGACTTTCCCTACTTGGGAACCAGACATTGGTTGGCTCACCCAGCTCTGATGAAAAGGCTAGAGCTGAATGGTATCAGCATGGGGATAGCACTCCAGTCCACAATACCAGACACCCTCAGAGACACATTGAACTTTGAAGGACAACTTCTATGGGGTTAGGCAACAATCCTGTCTTCTGGAACCTGACAAGAATTCCAGGGCTTGCAGAATCAATGGCCACCAAGAAACCAAAGAAATGAAGGTGGCTTTGCTCAAGGTCCCTCCTCAAAATCGACCACCTAGTATATATAGGCGCCCTTATTTGTTCAAACAAATCCAAGAGAATATATGACAGGGAATTTGTTAGGGGTCTGTTGGCTAGGGCCCTCCAAGGAATGCCAAGCAGGCAGTGAAGTCAGGCCTTAATACTAGTGTATGCTGGAAAGTCAGCAGAGAACTGATGTCAGCAGTCCTCTTGCACATTTCTGTGCTCCATGTGTGTCTACTATTAGCCAATTCTATGGTTACTCTGTAGGAGTTGCAACCCACTGGCAAATCTAAGTCCGCAACCATTCTTCCCAACTTCTGCCTAAGTGCAGCCGCCTGCAATGTGGACTCCTTGACGCTCCTACTAGCTTGGGAATCGCCCTTCTCGGCTGCTGCGCTCGCGGCTCGAGGGCGGCTGAAACGGCGACGCAGCGCCCTCTGGCGGCGGAAAGAGCCACGCCTCGAGGTTGCGGCGGAGTGTTTGCCCTGGAGAGGGAGGCGGGCTCTGGGCTCCGTGCGCGCGCAGCGGAAACGTCCTCCGCCGGTGACGTCACCCGGGCCTTGCGGAAAAGGCGCTGCGGGAGTCGCCGCCGCCGCCGCAGAAGGGTGAGTGGCGAGGGCGGGACGGGGCCGCGCGCTCCTTTCCTCGGCTGCCCTCGTCGCGCGCCTTGGCTCCGGCGAGGGGAGCCCGGGGCGCGCGCGGCTGGGGGCGCCGCCTCCCCGGGCGGGTGCGCGAGGGAGGAGGGCGGCCCCCGGGGGCTGGGAGAGCCGGGCGCCGCTGAGGAACAAAGGCGGGGAGCGGGGAGCCCAGGCAAGCCCGGCTGGGGGCGCGGCGCTCAGGGAGCCGCCGCCGCCGCCGGTGGGAAAGAGCCCTCGAGGCGACGAGCGCCTTCTCCTGCCCCTCCCTCGCCCTGGGGGCCCTTCTCCCAAGGCGAGCGGGTGCGGGGCCCCCAGGCTGTGCCCGCCTCGCGGAGGATTGGGGTGGCCTCCCTGCCTTACGTGGCCACGGGGTGCCTGCTTCTTCAGAAGCCGACCCTGGATCCACCGGTTTCCAATAAGCACCAAGGGGTGGGGTGGGCGGAGAGGGTTGTAGCAAAACTAGTTCAAGCGTTCCTGGGTGACCTGGTTATCTGGCTCCCTCTCAGTCTGCATTCAGGCCTGGTTTTGAAACTGAATCATTCCTGGTCACTCTGATAGATTTGGGGGGGGGGGGTAGGGAGAGAACGATGGGACGCAGGTGGCGTTGTGGACTTACCTAGGACTTACCAATCGTATGGTCGGTGGTTCGAATCCCCGCGGCGGGGTGAGCTCCCGCTGCTCGGTCCCAGCGCCTGCCAACCTAGCAGTTCGAAAGCACCCCCAGGTGCAAGTAGATAAATAGGGACCGCTTACTAGCGGGAAGGTAAATGGCATTCCGTGTGCTGCGCTGGCTCGCCAGATGCAGCTTGTCACGCTGGCCACGTGACCCGGAAGTGTCTCCGGACAGCGCTGGCCCCCGGCCTATAGAGTGAGATGAGCGCACAACCCTAGAGTCTGTCAAGACTGGCCCGAACGGGCAGGGGTACCTTTACCTTTACCTTTAGGGAGAGAATAACCTTTTTCTCTTGATCTCTCAGTGACTTTTGATACCAGTGATCTTGCTGGATCAGCTGTGTGGGATTTGTATTGGAGGCAGTGTATTCCAGTGGCGTCATTCCTACCTGCACAGTTGAGTTCCCAAGATTGGCATTGAAGGGTTGCTCCTTGACCCCATAGTAAAAGTGTTACGGTGTTTTCCACATTGTCCCCAAAGCTGTTAAAACATGTACAGTATATGCAGCTGTTAAGAGCAGTCATTGGAAATTGTGGAGCATCTTGTGGGGGCTTGTAGAAAGATAGTTAAAAATGGCCAACTATCCCTCAAACATCTAGCCTTGAATGCTTCATATCTTATGTCTTCATTATATGAATTAATATCTGAGTGCTTTGATTTTTTTGTTGCAGTTTATTTTGTATCTTGTTTATAAATGAAAAATCAGAAACAAAACACAGTGAGTCTTCAACATTCCTGAAGGTCTTCATCTGTGGAATGTTCCTTTCTCCCCTACCTTTCCCCCTAAGTCAAATGTATATATTTAAGATCTGTTAGTGTATTTATAAGTATTTTGAACTGTATTCAGATGCTCAGTGGTTGCAGTTATGATTTTTATTTGTAGTTCTGTTTTTTCTTCTAAAAACTTAAGCATTGCTTTTTAAAATATTAAGTAAATGCCTTTAAATAAAATGTAAAATATATCATGTAGATTGTCTCCTTCATTGGCTAGAATCCATAGTAGCACCTATAAGTAGACTTCTGCTCAGGAAATAATTTCACCAGCAGAAGGGAGAGAGAGATGATGACTGCTGATTTCCTTCCCCCTGCAGTGTCTTGTACCCAGAATCAGCTCTGGAGAGTTGGGAGACATCAGCAAAATCTCTTCCCTTTTGCCAGTGGATCCCTCCACTGGATTAAAGGCCTCTAGTTCCATTACATTTGGGGAGCAAAGTAAGACTTTTAAAGAAGTTCACTGATAACATTGAGGATATTCCAGTTATGTGCATCTAGAGTTCAGGGATGGTGTCTGTGTTGTGCTAATCTTTAAAATCCTTTTCTAAGGTGACTTTGCTAAGCTAACTTGGATAATGGCAAAGATGGTCAGAAGACAGTGTGCATTTTGCCCAGATGATGAAGAATGTGCCATTATGTATGTTGCTGAAGGACAGAACCTTGCAGTTCATCAGGATTGTTTGGTGAGGATTAATTCATTTTTCTTTTTACACAAAACCCAAAAAGGGTTCTCTAATTATTGTTACTAATAAATTTCAGCAATAGTTTTTCTCTAATAAACACATCAAGTACAATAACTTCCACAACCATTCCTCCCTATTAAACAATAATTATTTCCATCTTTTTCCACACAAGAGTCTGCCCCTATGATCATATATTAAAATAACAGTTCATACTGTTTTTTTATTATGTATTTGTAAATTCACGCCCAGTTCCATATCCTCCCATCCCATTTCCTGTTGTATTTGCCATGGTTTTCCATCCTGATTTTTAAATAAATATATTCTTAAAGCCAGAAAGTAGCTCACATACCAGATGTAAATTTCCATCGGCAGACAGAGAAACCTCTCTAAGACATAAATTATAACCGTCTCAGAGAGATTGGAGAACAGGAGGCTTTTGCCGACCCTATGCCCATTAGGGCTCTCATGTGGCTTTGGGGCAAGATGTTGATTCCTCTGCTCTTAAGTTGCTCACCTCCATTCAGGTTCCAAGGAGCTTCTCGGTCTCCCAACTTTTAGTAAACAACTTTTTCAGATCATCATAGGTTAATTCCCTGTCAGAGTGAATTCAATAATGTATATCTGGCTATCAATCACCATGCAGCCATCTCTGTTGGCAACCTGCCAACAGAAGACATTGAGTCCGCCTTGTTCCCTCCCTGGAAGTCTCCCTTCCCAGCTGCATCTGCTGTTCTTAAAGCCATGGTCTGGGCGAGGCTGTTGCTCAGCTGGACTTGATGATTATTATTATTAATTTAGTTTGCATACCACTCTTCATCCATAGATCTCGGGGTCTAGGATACATCTGGTATAGGATGTGGAAGGCTCGTCTCTTTTTATAGTGTTAGTAAGGCAGTTTCTATTCCACATTCAATCCTGAATCCCAGCTGAAATGGATCCAGGAAACCAGTTTCATACAAGAGTGCCTGCCTCTAGTCAGATCTTGTTGGGTATATTTACGTAGCTGTAAATGGAGCCCACACGCTTCCCTCAGCTCTCCGGTCAGCTACTGTAGCAGAGTGCACGCAGCGAGAAACTGTTGCTGTGCGTGTGTGTATAATAAATCAGGCTGCACGCACGGTGTCTTCCTTATCATCAAAACGTCTTTATTCGTGTAGAAAAACAGCTCTTAAATCTTTCCTGGCGACAGAGCACTCATCTTGCTTCCTCTCCAGAGAAAACCAAAACAGAACAGACACACAGAGAAAACACTCCCCTCTGTGTACTAAACCACGCCCCAGAATGTGAGACGTCACACAGAACCTCTTAACCCTGTAGGTTCTGGTTCTCTCCACAGATCTGTTGTTGGACTACAACTCCTTGACCACTGCCACTGGTCATGTTGGCTGGAATTGATGGAAGTTGGTACTCCAAAACATTTTGCGGGCATAAGGCTGGGGAAGGCTGTTGCATACCAATGCATTCTCTTTCTATGGTTCTCTTTCTATAGAATACTACCTGTGGGACAAATGACAAAATAGCAGAGGAGCTTAGTTGTAATATAAAGATTGGTCTCATAGTTAAACTAGATGGCATAGCTAAATTACCAGCTCTGTTGCCACTTCAATAGTAATTTTAACTGCTTTAAAATTCTGTAGATATTTAGTGACAATTTCTGTCACAATTGCACCTATTATTGTTGTTGTTGTTGTTGTTGTTGTTGTTGTTAATAATATCCTGCCCATCTGGCTGGGCTTCCCCTAGTCACTTTGGGCGGCTTCTAACACTTATAAAAACCAAGTATAATGGGGGATGGCCACCTCCCCTGTCTTTGCTCCTTTGCTTACTGCCGGTTCCTGCATTGTCAGTGATTGGACTAGCTGACCTTTGGGTCCCTTCCAACTTTGGGATTCTATGATTCCACCATTGCTCTTGAACTGAGGAGGCTCTTGAAAAATGTCACTCTTGTTCTGTGGCATGCGTGCCTGTTTGTGTGTGCATGCAGAGTTCACCTTTTTTCTATTTATCGCCTAGTAACACAAAGAGGGCCCTTGGGGTCACCAGATGTTGCTAGTGGAGACTGGCAAGTGTTGGGAAATAAGGTGTGCAGATGGGGAACCAAATAATGCAATTGCAACTTGGTACTGCTTTCTAATATTGGCTACTTCATTGTAGCAATGACTGTCTTCAAGCGTACTATATATACATGGTTCTTTCCTACCTACATTGCATGGCAGAGGAAGGTGAGATGAAGAGAAAGCTTCCTTTGTGAGCTGGGTTGACTATCGTATCCTATTTCAGTGCATCCCTTATTCAGTTTAGATACAGGGTTCTTGAACAGCGCCCTGTCTTCTAGGAGACTGGAACAGCAAGGGGTGGTATGCTCAACCTGGAAAAGTGGTAGTTAAAATAAAATCCAAGTATATACATTATTTTGAATGGTTCTTAATTGCAGATAAGTTGCAGATAACCATGCAAAAGAAACTAACATTGTGCAAATCTATGAGAGAACACTTAAATCAAATCTCTTCCCAACTGTTGCTGCTGTTCCTTATTGCTTCATTGTAGTATCTCCTGGTTTGATTTTTACTTCCTTTTAATTTATGTTTTTATTTTTAGCTATATTCCTCTGGATTTGTGGAATCTGAAGAACATAACCCTGAGAATCTCGATATAAGGTTTGATGTGGCTTCAGTAACGAGTGAAATAAAAAGAGGAAAGAGGCTGGTGAGACACCAACCTTTTACATTTTTATGTGTATAAAAGCAGACTATGCAGAATTAGTTCAGAATTATTTCTTTTGATGCTAAGGTCAGAGTTATTTAGTTAAGAGGCATATACTGGCAAGTATTCTGAGAAAAGAACACTTTAACACAGGGGTCAGCAAACTTTTTCAGCAGATGGCCTATCCCTCAGACCTTGTGGGCGGCCGTATTATATTATTTGGGGGGAAATGGACAAACTCCTATGCCCCACAAATAACCCAGAGATGCATTTTAAATAAAAGGACACATTCTACTCATGTAAATGCATGCTGATTCCCAGATTGTTCTCGGGCTGGATTTAGAAGACGATTGGGCCAGATCCAGCCCCCGGGACTTAGTTTGCCTACCCATACTTTAACATAATGCTCCTCAAAAAAACCAACCCTGCCATTGTAATAGCAATGAAAGACTTGCTTTGGCAATCACTCTTCCTCAACAGATTTCTCCAAAATGAAGGGAGAAGCAATACTCTTGGCTAAATGTCTGGCTTTTCCTCTCAAAGCATCACTTGTGCACTCTTAAGAACTGTACATAAAATGCCATCAAAGAGATAAAAAATGTTAGCGCCAATTTGAAGTCTGAATTCTTACCATCGTCAGATATACATCCTATTGTATATAAGGTAGCTGTAGTCTTGATTGCAAATTACAGTACCCAGTGCTTTTCTACTAGAAATGTAATAGCTGCTAGCACCTGTCTGTCTCGAAGTGACCTTCCCGGAGCACATGCCTGGGCAGTGTATCTGAAGGTCCTGGGCTGCTCAGACAACAAATCCCCTGTGCCTCTCAACCTCGTTGATGGGGTCCAAAGGAAAGCAGAGGCAAACAAGGCACCATCCCACTGTCTTAGGGACTACACTCCAGATTTGTGTAGGGTTTACTGTTCCTTAGATTTTTCTTCTCCCGAAGGTATCCTACAAGGGCAACAGAAGGCTCCTTCTCCTTGATGGGCTCCCATCCCAGGTGGATGAGCCCCATCTGCCCCTCACTTCCCTCAACAGCACATGCAGAAAACCGCCTTCTTAACCATTGGACCCACTCTTGGTCTTGTCTGCCTCTCTTTGCATGCAAGGAAAGTCCTTAATCCACTAAAGGTTTGAGACCCATTGGCTCCATACACCTGGTTTAGCCACCCAGTCAAAGCCATTTCCCGGGCTGGGGCTGCTGTCACATGCTGACAGCTTCTAAGAGGTGAGAGCTGAGGGCAGGGTGAGGACCAGAGGTGGACAAACTATCTCAGAAGGAGCGGGACGTATCTCCCACCAGAGGTACTACCCCACTCATAGCACCCCACAAATGGAATATATGGGATGTTATCAATAGACAATTTAATAATTATTTCATTGAAATAATTGTATGGAGATACCATGAAGGCTGCGACCACATACTTTTAAATTAAAGAATATAAATGCAAAGAAGTGTGGGGTAGAGGCCCAGGCTAGCCAAACCATTAGCTTGACAGAAGCAAAGCATTTCTCATAACCAAATAATTTTAAAAATGTTTCTCTGTAGTTAAAATTGCAACAGAGAGTTAGTAATGATTGGACAAAGTTAGACTGCAATTTTAACCCCTGTTCCTGGCTGTAAGTCGCATTGAATTCAGGTAGGACTTACTTATGAGTAGCCATTCCAAAGACTGTGGTTTAAAAATTTTGGTTCACTGAAAGCTAAGATTGCTAACATCAGAACCAACCTGATATGGTACAGTATGGTACAGACTCAAAAACCCATTTTTTGCAGATATGCAATTTCTGTCGCAAGAAAGGAGCCACTGTGGGCTGTGAGATAAAAAACTGTCGCAGAAGTTACCATTATTTCTGTGCTTTGTGTGATGATGCTGCAATAGAAACGGATGAAATTCAAGGCATTTACCGGTATTTAACAAATTCTTTTCTAAAATTTGTGGCATTTTGAGAATTTTCTTCCATTTATCTTTTACTTTGACACCATTATTGGGGTGGTTGGGTGGTACTGTCTTTGCCTGTTGATGGCACCCGTCTGTCTGGGGAGACAATACAGGAGTGTTCCTTTGTGGGTGAAGTCAAATTGCTGGAAGATCACAGCACCTGCTGTGGCACCTAATGGCCAGATAATAGACCAGGGACCGGCAAGGTTTACCTCGCCTGCGCCGGTTCACTCCAGCGGAGATCCCTACGTGGGCTGGATCGCATGCACACCCGATTTCCGGCATCTGCGCAGACACGATTTCCAGCGTTGGTGTCCACACAGCTGCGGTTTCCGGCACCGCAGAAGTGAGTCCCCGTGCGCCGGTTTAGCGCAGCACATGGACTCACTGAGCAGGCGGCTCAGTTCAGAGACAGCTTGTGGGCTGGTTAAACGACCCCCGTGGGCCACTTGTGGCCCATGGGCCTTAGGTTGCCAACGCCTGTAATAGACTATTCAGTCAGTCCCTCTGCTGGCTGAAGGCTTCCATAAGTGAAAGGTTTTTCAAAATTCCCCTTTTGTCCTGCGCTCCCATCCACTGCTCCAAAGCACCCCCTAATCCTCTCGAGCAGGTTTGGGGAGACCCAGCAGAGTTGCAGAAATAAGGGGAAGGTAGGAAAATTGGCCCTCTTTCTTTTCACAGAAGCTTCCTCTGCAGTCCAAAAGCCTTTCATTAGTGAAAAACACCACCCAATATCTGAATCTAAACAATCCTGAGAACCAGCAGAATAAACCTTTTTTATTCCCCAGAATTGGATGTGGGGGATATTCATGATATGCCCGTTTTTATAAGTTGCTCACCTTGGCTGTCAAATCCACCTACAAGGTGGCAGAATTGAGCACTTGCCTTGCTGTGGCAAAGAGGCTTGAATAACTCAGAGAAGCTATGAACTATGCCATGCAGGGCACCCAAGATGGACAGGTCATAGTGGAGAGTTTTGACCAAACGTGATCCACCTGGAGCAGGAACCGGCAAGCCACTCCAGTATCCCTGCCAAGAAAACTCCATGGACAAAGACAACAGGCATATAAAAGTTATGACGCTGAAAGATGAGCCCCTCAGGTCGGAAGGCGTCCAACATGCTACTGGGGAAGAGCGGAGGACAAGTACAAGTAGATTCAGAGCTGATGAAGCGGCTGGGCTAAAGCCGAAAGGACGCTCAGTTGCGGATATGCCTGGAAGCGAAAGGAAAGTCCAATGCTGCAAAGAAAAATATTGCATAGGAACCTGGAATGTAAGAACCATGAACCTGGGTAAGTTGGAAGTGGTCAAAAATGAGATGGCAAGAATAAATATTGACATCCCAGGCATCAGTGAACTAAAATGGACGGGAATGGGCGAATTCAGTTCGGATGACCATCACATTTACTACTGTGGGCAAGAAACCCGTAAAAGAAATGGAGTGGCCCTCATAGTCAACAAAAGAGTGGCGAAAGCTGTACTGGAATGCAATCTCAAAAATGATAGAATGATCTCGATACGAATCCAAGGCAGACCTTTTAACATCACAGTAATCCAAGTTTATGCGCCAACCACTGGTGCTGAAGAAACTGAAATTGACCAATTCTATGAAGACTTACAACACCTTATAGAAATGACACCAGAGAAGGATGTTCTTCTCATTATAGGGGATTGGAATGCTAAAGTAGGGAGTCAAGAGATAAAAGGAACAACTGGCAAGTTTGGCCTTGGAGTTCAAAACGAAGCAGGGCAAAGGCTAATAGAGTTCTGCCAAGCGAACAAGCTGGTCATCACAAACACTCTTTTCCAACAACACAAGAGACGACTCTACACATGGACATCACCAGATGGGCAGCATTGAAATCAGGTTGATTATATTCTCTGCAGCCAAAGATAGAAAAGCTCTATACAGTCAGCAAAAACAAGACCTGGAGCTGACTGTGGCTCAGATCATCAGCTTCTTATAGCAAAATTCAATCTTAAACTGAAGAAAGTAGGAAAAACCACTGGGCCGGTAAGATACCATCTAAATCAAATCCCTTATGAATACACAGTGGAAGTGAGGAACAGGTTTATGGATTTAGATTTTGGAGCTGGATTCTCAGCAGAACTGACAGCCTGACCAGCCAACTTAATTTTCATAATTTATTTTTTCATTGCCTAGCAAAAAGTAGTTTAAAAAGCTCAGTTCTTAGAATTAATTTTGATATTACCTGCCAGCAAATTGAAGTTTCCCCTGAAATTGCCTTGGAGACAGGTTAATTAGGCACCTGCATTTGTTTCCCACCTCGGAGTCATCTAAAACTTAGTGTGACATCAGCTTAGACAACTGGGAGAGAACACCAAGATCCACTGAGCCAGAAGAACCTAGTCTCTCCTTCGCACCCCCACCACCAATTTATTAAATTTATTTGCACTAAGAAAGTCCCTGGAGTCCATTCTGCTTGCCTGCTGTGCTGCCCAAACTGCTGTACACAACACAGCCAGCAAGCATCACTATATATGGGGAGGGGGATTAAAGTTCCATAGAAAAGCATTCAGTGGAGCCCCTCCTTTTGCTTTCTTTTTTTCTTGAAAGCTAACATAGCCAGCCAGGGCACCTTAGTTAACCTAGAATGGGGCAGGGCTGATCAGGGGCCCCAACCAGTCGAGTTATGCCATCTGGAGTGAACAGAACAGAGTGGAAAGGATGCACTCACTCCCTTTTGATCATGTTTTAACCACAGTTAGTCACCCCCATCCAAGCTGCTCTTCCTCTGTCTTGCTTCTTCCCCCTTCCTTCCTCCTTCCCCCCCTTTCCAACTGTTATTTCTCCCATTCCAGTCCTCCTCTCTGCTTTTGTTTTTTATCTTTAACATCTTGAAGGTCTTCCTACCTGCTTCCAAGAATCCTTTGTTCATCTCAGCCCATCAGGAAGTTTGAGGGGCTTTTGCCTATCTGCTTGGCTTAACACAGGCACACACAAAGTGAGATGGGCTTGGGAAGGGGGGCTCTTCTGCTGTCTCAGCACAGGCTTCTGAACTTTCGTTGAGCGAGTAAAAGGACTTCAGTGTATGGGACCAAGAGTTGCAAATGCTTCACATTCTCCCTCTTTTCTTTAAAAAACAAGGATAATTGAAATGCACAGCCATCAGAGCGTCATGACCTTAAAATAAAATAGTAACGTATATCTTTAGCCATAGTTTTACCTGAAATGTAATACTGAGGAAGTAATGTTTTAACAAAAACAAACCAGGCTGCTTTGCAGAGAAATTACCCAGTTGAGTCTGATAAATGCAGCAAGCTCAGGAGATAGACTGAGCACACGGAGGTAGGAAGAGGGTCCATGAGGTGTTAAAATAGTTTTTAAACTTAAAAGTAGCAGTGTGAGGCTCTGGTTTTAATCATCAGAGCAGTAGTGATTGGTGGGAAGATGTTGAAATTTTCCCTTATGATATTTCCCCCTTTTCCCTTCCTGCCTTTGGGAATTGTTGCTCTGTGTAGCCTGCCCTCACCCTTCTGTGTGCAACAGTGCAAGGGAAGGAGAAGGCAAGGGCACAAGTGAAAATCCTTGCCTTGGCAGGACCTTGACTTAGTGTTGCTTTGGATACAACTCAGAAGCTTTTGGACCCTGTCTCCTCGCCAAGGAGAGGGGCCTACTTCTGAAAGTTCCTGGAATGGAGAACTTACATACTTCAATAGTAAGGAATTTTATTTTCTCTGAAAAAAATATGAATAGATGGCAGAATAATTTGTCACTATTTCATTGGTAAACACTGATCACTCCACTCTACATAGCTTGCCTGACACTCATGATTCTTTCTTGCAAAAATAGCACATCAAACCCTTTCTTGAATAGGCACTTGGTGTTGTCTTAGTGCTCCTTTCAGATAAGTATCCGTGGTACCATTCTTCCAGAACTGAACTCTTCACTGTGTCTTACTACATTTATGTACATTTTAATAGAAATGAATGCATTTGTTTATATATTAATTCAATTTCTTTTCTCTCGTTATTTCTCCAATGTATTAGAGTGTTCTGTCCAAACCATGACCCAGTCAAGAAGACAAGCTTTTATGGTTAGTTTTTTTCCTCATCAGACTCTTCTCTATGCTTCAAATAGTCATTTTTAGCAGATGCAGTAATGGAATATTTGTTTATACATTCCCCACTATTGAAACCCTTGACAAAAAATGTGTCAAGAGTGCTTTTATAAAACACTGAAAACCAATGTATTTTTTCTCCTACCCATATGAACAAGAGAACTATACTCACTATACAATTTACCATAGCAGGGGGGTTTTTTTGTCAGAGGTTGGTCTGGTTCAGCAGTGATTTCCCCAATTCAAGTTCCACGTGGAAGAGTTTTTCCAGTGGTTGCTGCTCATCACTGGACCCAATAAATGTTGTTTTCCTGATTTTGTCTCTCTGCAGCTCTTCAGAAAACCAAAGCCACCCTCCCTTCTGCCCTCCACAGCAACTAGCGCCTTGTAGATAATTCCCTGCTCACATAGGTTGGCATCACGCATCAGCTGACATTATTCCTGATTATTCAGAAAATGGCCAGATTCCAATTCATAGAAAATTACTAATTTTCTCATAAGACCCACACAAATTGCCCACAAAGCAGCCTGATACTGTCTCTCTGCTCATTGCACCTGCAACATCCATGCAGCTGCTCAGAGACTCTGAACTTCACATTTTGTGCAGGACGGAGGGACAGTTGAGGTGCTGCTTATCTAGCTTTCTTAAAATTGTTGTTTACAGTTTAAAGTAAATGTTGGTTCTTTCAAATGGTGGTATTTTCCTATCCACCAAATTGTATTACACTTTTGTTCGTTCTTGTTTCTGTTCCTGCCAATTCCAAGACACTTTTCAGAGAGTACTTCCACCACCAACTCATTCTGATTTGACCCATGTTTTCCTTTTCCTTGTTTCTTGATAAAATTGTGCTGGGAGGAGCTTTTAGTACTTGCCTCATGACTGAAATGAGAGAGAGACTCAGGTTGTGGACACGGTGTGTTCTGTGGCTAAAAAGTGAAATGATAGCATGAAACTTAACTATACTGCCCCACAATTCTGTGATTGTTTTTCAAGACTGATGTGCGACAGTATAGGGTAGTTCTTTGACTTGGCCCAAGGTGCAAAGGGGGAAGGAATTTATTGCACTCTTGTGCCAGTATTACTTGGACATTCAAGATACAAGAAGTAGTATTTGTTAACAAATACAAACACACAAAATCTCCATTTTGCCATTATGTCAATTCACTGGATGATTCTTAAGTCCTTATCATTGTAACTCTTAAGACGAATTTAAAAAGAAGTAATTGTAACTTGTTCTGTCTGTTTTTATAGTGTATCTTGCTATAACTTACTGAAGTACTATAATAAATTATCTGGTAAAATATAAGCAGCAGCTATCTTATTTCTAGATGAGGACAGCAAGAAGGGACGGCCCCCAATCCTAATAAACTCTTCCTGCAGTGGAAAAAAAATGGTAATTAATATATATTTTTAAGCCTTTTTAATGTCTACATCATGCAGTAAGTTTCCTCCAATGAGCCATGCTTCCTTGCTACATTGGTCTCACATGTGATTTAAGTCTGAGTTCTAATTCAGTTTGTTCTTTTTTGACCCGTTTTAATTTCTGACTGCTGCTAGGTGCTAAATCTTGGGAAATAAAATGTGCATGGTTGAACTGTGTGTGCCACTTTGAGCTGCTTGGAGGAAAAGTGCTATGAATTAATACATGGATTACTTGGGAGATAATTTAGCTTAAGAAAGAGCATATGCTTAGTGCAGAGCATGGATAGGATTCAGCTCTAAGCTTGTTAACATGGGAAGGTGGGGATTGTTACACTGGGAAAACATGAACATTGTCGTTAGTGTTCTGAACAATACTGATAAATATGCAAACTTGTTTTTAAAAACACTTTTGACAGAATGATAATGAAACCGTTGCAGAAGAGAGCCTACAGCAGGTCCTTAAGAGAAAAAATGACCAGCAGAAAGGTAGGACTTCACTGGGTTTGGCACTTGTTAGGATTTCTAGTAGCCTGTTCTGCAGCTTTTTGCCATGAATGTGACTCAAATTACAAAGATGGCCACTCATGATTATTATAGAGACCATTTCCTATACAGTGGTACCTTGGGTTAAGTACTTAATTCGTTCTGGAGGTCCGTTCTTAACCTGAAACTGTTCTTAACCTGAAGCACCACTTTAGCTAATGGGGCCTCCTGCTGCCGCCGCGCCGCCGGAGCACGATTTCTGTTCTCATCCTGAAGCAAATTTCTTAACCCGAGGTACTATTTCTGGGTTAGCGGAGTCTGTAACCTGAAGCGTATGTAACCCGAGGTACCATTGTATATATAAATGTGACTTGATACAGAAACATACTTTCTTCTGAGAAATATACAGTTCAGCAAACTACTGCTTAGACATTTGGGCCAAAAAATCTTCCTTTGCAAATATTCCCACCAAACTCATTGATTTCAACATTTCTTCTCTTCTGTCCGAATTGTTCCTAATTGGCTTCTGGATGGCTCAGATACTTAGGTATAAGTGTCTAGTCTTCAGCTTTTGAGTAATCTTCACCTGACACTGGTTTTAAATTTACCTTCAATTCTGTTTCATAGGAATTTCCAGGCCTTGCACATTATATGATGATGATCTTTTTTCAGGCATCATCACACTCTGTACTTTTTAACTTTTTTCTATAATACAAAACTAGAATTATTATTATTATTATTTTATTATTATTTATTTGTACCCCGCCCATCTGTCTGGGTTTCCCCAGCCACTCTGGGCGGCTTCCACAAAGACCAGAAATACACTAAGATGTATGTCAGGTAGTTGTTTATCTCTTTGACATCTGATGGGAGGGTGTTCCACAGGGCGGGCGCCACTACCAAGAAGGACCTCTGCCTGGTTCCCTGTAGCTTTGCTTCTCGCAATGAGGGAACCGCCAGAAGGCCCTCGGCGCTGGACCTCAGCGTCCGGGCAGAACAATGGGGGTGGAGATGCTCCTTCAGGTATACTGGGCCGAGGCCATTTGGGGCTTTAAAGATCAACACCAACACTTTGAATTGTGCTCGGAAACGTACCGGAAATGTAGGTCTTTCAAGACCGGTCTTATGTGGTCTCGGAGGCCGTCACCAGTCTAGCTGCCGCATTCTGGATTAGTTGTAGTTTCCAGGTCACCTTCAAAGGTAGCCCTAAGTTGGTCGCATTGTAGTAGTCCAAGCGGGAGATAACCAGAGCATGCACCGCTCTGGCGAGACAGTCCGCCGGCAGGTAGGGTCTCAGCCTGCGTACCAGGTGGAGCTGGTAGACAGCTGCCCTGGATACAGAATTGACCTGCGCCTCCATGGACAGCTGTGAGTCCAAAATGACTCCCAGGCTGCGCACCTAGCCTTTTAAGGGGCACAGTTACCCCATTCAGGACCAGGGAGTCCTCCACACCAGCCCACCCCCTGTCCCCCAAAAACAGTACTTCTGTCTTGTCAGGATTCAATTTCAATCCAGTAGCCACCATCCATCCTCCATAATCACGTTGTGACCACTAACAGGCCAATAACCTGGACCCATGGGTTTCTGTGGCAGAGGGGAAAGCCACATATAAACACACATTATCTAAGCTTTTGGCTTGTTCTTGAGCCTTTGCTGCTGCTGCTGCTTTTCCCTGGTGGAGAAGTGATTGCTGCTTCAAAAAATATTTAAAGCATCCAGGATTTTAGTGTAACTATGACTTGAGAGTATCTTGCAAGCTAAAAAACAAAATGTCTTGAAAGTAAATTACTGCTCTGGCTAGAAAGAGCTTCACAATGCCAGTAGATATGGAACTGTTTGAAAAAGGATGTATTTCTCTCTTAACAGTAAGGATAGACTTTTTAAGGAAGTGTAAGCAGGCTGGGCTTCTTGATGAAATCTTTGAGGAAATGTTAGACACTCTTCACCTTGCGCAGGAAAAGCTGATGGATGACAACACTTCTGAAGCAGGTACTGGAAAGTGTTTTTAAGTCACAGCCATTTGGGACAATTGCTAATTTGAGCTTTTTGGTCCAAGTCATGACCTGTGAATGCTTCCGTAGGGCTTACCTCTCAGGAACAAGACTGCTTGGCCCTGTTTATTTCTCATGTTCTTTTTCCCCAGCCTACTGTTGCAGGATGAGTTTTTGACTCTCCCCTACAGAGCACAAATGCACAGTTGGGCTTTGGGGCACACTGTGACCTTCCCTTGCAACGGGTTTTAGTGGAAGCAGAAAGAGAAGACTGGTTAGGTGCAACAGCCCCGATACCCCTGGGTGCAGGGGGAGGTCATGACCATTTTATACACTGGCATGACTTTATTGTATGCATTCATAGCCCAGCCTTCAGCAAGCATGTCCAGGGTGGGTTACATACAGCTCAATAACCTATTTTTACTGAGTATACAGGTGAAACTAATATATGAGATAGACTCATGACACGCAAAGCGAGATATGCCAAGCCTTTATTTGTTATAATTGTGATGATTATGGCGTACAGCTGATGAAAACTCCAAATTAAGAATCTCAGAAAATTAGAATATTGTGAAAAGGTGCAGTAGCTATTCAATCCATAACACCTGCAATGGGATCCTGAGCCTTTAAATGGTCTCTCAGTTTGGTTCAGTAGAAAGCACAATCACGGGGAAGGCTGCTGACCTGACAGTTGTGCAGAAAGCCGTCATTGAGACCCTCCATAAGGAGGGAAAGCCTCAAAAGGTAATTGCAAAAGAAGTTGGATGTTCCCAAATTGCTGTATCGAAGCACATTAATGGAAAGTTATGCAGAAGGGAAAAGTGTGGAAGAAAAAGGTGCACAAGCAGCAGGGATGACCGCAGCCTGGAGAGGATGGTCAGGAAAACACCATTCAAACGTGTTGGGGACTTTCACAAGGAGTGGACTGAGGCTGGAGTTAGTGCATCAAGAGCCACCACACACAGACGGATCCTGGAGATGGGCTTCAAATATTGTATTCCTCTTGTCAAGCCGCTCCTGAACAAGAAACGTCAGAAGCGTCTTACCTGGGCTAAAGAAAAAAAGAACTGGTCTGTTGCACAGTGGTCCCAAGTCCTCTTTTCTGATGAGAGCAACTTTTGCATCTCATTTGGAAACCAAGGACCCAGAGTCTGGAGGAAGAATGGAGAGGCACACAATGCCAGATGCTTGAAGTCCAGTGTAAAGTTTCCACAGTGTTGGTCCACTGTACTTCATCAAGTCCAGGGTCAACGCAGCTGTCTACCAGGAGATTTTGGAGCACTTCATGCTTGCTTCCGCAGATGAGCTTTATGGGGATGCTAACTTCATTTTCCAGCAGGACTTGGCACCTGCCCACACTGCCAAAAGTACCAAAACCTGGTTCAATGCCCATGGGATTACTGTGCTTGATTGGCCAGCAAACTCGCCTGACCTGAACCCCATAGAGAATCTATGGGGCATTGTCAAGAGAAAGATGCGAGACATGAGACCGAGCAATGTAGAAGAGCTGAAGGCTGCTATTGAAGCTTCCTCGTCTTCCATAACACCTCAGCAGTGCCACAGGCTGATAGCATCCATGCCACACCGCAGTAATTGATGCAAAAGGGGCCCAAACCAAGTACTGAGTACATATGCATGCTTCTACTTCTCAGAGGTCCAATATTGCTCTATTTGCAATCCTTGTTTTGCTGATTTCATTTAATATTCTAATTTTCTGAGATTTGGGGTTTTTATCAGCTGTATGCCATAATTATAACAATTATAACAAATAAAGGCTTGACATATCTCACTTTGCGTGTCATGTCTATCTCATATATTAGTTTCACCTTTTAAGCTGAATTACTAAAATAAATGAACTTTTCCACGATATTCTAATTTTTCGAGTTTCACCTGTATCCTTGTGTGTACTGTATATTAAAATCTGTATTCATGCAGAGGTATAAGCATGGTTTTGTCTCTACCCTCAGAATATGAAGAAACAGTAATGTCACTTTTTGACTGTGGCCTTTTTGAAAATATACTTGCAACAGCTCACTCTGGTATGTATGCATGAAGCAAAATTTGGAACTTCTCTCAATGACTACTTTTTGAGCCTGGGCAATCTGGTTTGGCATTAAAACCCAAGCACAAATGTCTCAGCACCAAAGTAGAATAGATCAGTTACTTGGTTCTGAAATGATTCAGACTGTTTGGCCTGATTATTCTTTTGATCTTACGAAGAAAACCACTTGCCTATTCTGCTTATTAGGCTGCATTTCTGGGACTAAGTCTTATTGAACTCAATAAGTAGACTATATTCCATTGTTCATTTTTAAGGAGTGGGAAGGAGAAGGAAATGAGTTATCAGTACTATACCGTATATTTCCTGGTGTAAGAAGGGGCTGCCTGGCATAACTGCTGCATTGCTCTACCAATCCGTAGCCCCCCTTTGTGCCTTTTCAGGCATGAATAATAGTTATATACATTTCCCTGTAAAAAATGTTTTGGAGGGGGTTAATATTTTGACCCTTTTTGTAGAATTATGCTTGTGTATTCAGGTAACTGAAATTGCCTTTGATTGAAAGGACAGTCACAATGGAGAAGATATTAGAGAAACAAAGGAATCATTTGAAAACAACAAACTTTTGCATTTTACATTAATACTAAGCATCAATTGTAAATTCTACAGGAACTGAAGAAAAAATTCAGCAGCTACTGCACACACGGGAAAGACTGGATACTCAGATTGAGCTTCTGGAAGATTTGAAGGGAGTAGTACTACCTGCCCCAGAAGACACAGCTAGTGTATCTAATAGTATCTCTGAACAACCTGCATATTTCTGTAATACTTGATCATGATTTCTCCTATCTGGTTCTTGCATAAAATCAACTTTCCAGTTAGATAAGTCTGCTTGTCCTTATATATCACATTTGTTATAACTGTTTTTTTCCTCTAATCACGACCGTGAGACACTTTTGTTCCAGCAAAGGCATTTTTTTCTTTTGGTTTTGACGGTCAAATTCTCTTTTTGTCTATTGCCAATTCATTTATGTGATTATTTGGAAAGGCAAGGGAAAGCCTGTGTCCTCTTGATAGCCATCTCCAAGATCACGGCTGTCTTTCTGATCTATTCCAGTACAGGGAGAATTGGATGTGTTTACCACATGTTCTTCATAGCTTCTTGGCAACAGAGTCTCTAGAACCAGGGCAGCTCCAGCCAGCAGGGCCAGGAGACATCAGTGAAGGGATGGAGAAACCAAGGTCAGCCTTCCTAAAGGATTGCACTGTGGTGCTATAATAGTTGTCACTACACATACTTTTTAAATCAATGGAAACGTCCTCTATCTGCTCCTTCAAGACACTTGACTACAATTGGTAGTGAAATTAAACACCATAGTTTCACTTTCCAAAGAGAAAGTCAAACCATGAACCTTCGTACTTAGTTTTACAGAATAGATCCTGTCTGTAAAATGACCCTGGCCTTGCAGTAGGAGCCCAAACATTAGATGTTTCAGACACCTCAGGAGGGCTTAATGTTAAAATGTTTCAGAGAATCAGTTTCTTAGAATCATAGGTAGTTGTGTGTGTGTAAAGAATATTTGCAATTGTTTGATTACAGAATTGTAAATAATCATTTAATAAAAGTGGGTTTTTTTAACAAAGTACAGTGATTTAAATTTGTATTTTCTACCTTCAACTACTGTCAAGGTAGTTACAGGACGCTTCCCATTTCAGCATATTGGTCTGCTGACTTTCAAAAAGGGATTGGGGGGGGGGAGATAGGACAAGGCAAAATCCAGTCCTCTCATCCCTCCCACCACCACACCATGTAAGTGCTTTCAAAACATAAGGACGCTAGCCATCTGTCTGGCAGATGTATACATTCAAGCAGCCAAAATACACAGGACTGAGATTGTGAATGTGGAAACTTTTAACAAACTGAAGATGCAAGTAGTTGGTTGAAGTTTCTGATGCAAATTGTGAGGGGGGTTAACCAGATTTTCCATTGCAGTTTTTGTCCCATTAGTGAATATATGTTGATGGGGTGGCACTAAGAATCAGCTGCAGCTTGCAGATGGGCAGCACTGAGGAGAAATACCAGATACGTTTTTATAGGTCAGCTTCAAACAGTAGGGTTGTGGGTTTTTATAATTTAGTCTTTAGAAGTTATACTTCAGAATTTGCACTGCTAATACAGACATTAAAGCTGCTGTACATTTTGTGTGCGAGAGAGCTCTGTTAGACAGTACCTGAATCCTAGCAGATGCACCAAAAACTGTATCTTCATTGTGCCAGCTGCACATTCACTGTGGGTGCTGAGAACTTTGCCTGTATGGGCACAATTCCTTTGCAGAAGTTAGTGGGGGGGTTTTCTGGTCCCTTTCTGTTTCTACAAGAATATGGTTTGAAAAGTGCCCTTAAGTCCTGCCCCCCCCCCAAGAAAGTCAACAACATTTTCATACGACACAACAGTCCTAACACATTTTCTACCTGTAGTATTGTCATCAATCAAGTTTTTTTGAGCATCACCACTATTCTACATCAAGAAAGTCCAGCTTTGAGGTAGGAAGAATATCTAGATATTAGCCTTGGGTATATAACCCTCAATAATGAAAGGTAGACAGTCCTATAAAGTTTTGATTTATCAAGGATTTATCCAATTTAATGCATTTTTTTCCTTTCAGCAACACTGCAGAAGTTACTAATGTTTACTACACACTGCCTGCCCCTTTCTGGTGAAGATTACCAGAACAAACAGCAGTATAGAATTGCAGAGTTGGATGGAACCCCAAAGGTCATCTTCAATCCCCTGCAATGCAGGAACAGATGTTCTAATGTCCTTTCGAACTCAGAAGCACCACCCTCTGCTAAAAATAATTTTATGCATTATTTTAATGGGATACATTTAGAACACACATTTTACACACAGAAAATGTACAGAATTCATACATAATTTAAATGCAAAATATTTTCCGAGAGTATTCTGCTTTTAACAACTTTAAATCTCTACAACGAGGCTGCCTGTCACAGCTTATATGTCAAAAAGCTGTGGAGGCAATAATTTAATTCCAAATAGATTTTGAGACACCATATAACTGATTCTTCAAGTCTTTTTAAGAGACATAGTTCAACAGATTCAATACATAATTGTTTCACAGACAAGTCCTTCGTTACTGGCAGGTCCTGCAAGCTTCCTTCATGTGCGTGCAAATGGAACAGACAAAAAGGCAAAAATACTTCCTTCTCACACTGCTGCTACATAGTTCCAGGTGGTGAAGCATTTTAGTGCCAGCAAAAATCAGTAAGAGACCCTGAAATCACTAAATTACACCACATAGATTAACAACTGAGCAAGCCCAACTTCTGAAAGATCGATCATAGTCTTCTCTTCACCCTCCTTCAGTTCCTTCCATCTTATTCTTTCCAAAGTTGTTCAAAACTTTGTAGAAGCATCCAGCTATCTAGAGCAACTTAAAATCAAATCTTCCATTCTTTGATTTGGAACTCCTTTAAAAACAACTGCTGGACAAGTGTTTTTTATACAGCATGGCCATGAAATCACACCAGCTATGGCTGCAACATCCATTCAGTTCTTAAAGGCTCCATATTTACTGGCTTTAGCAATGAATTCCTTTAGCAGAGAACCATCCATTTGCCAAAATGCTGCAGTCTGGGTGACTTCAGTCAAGTGATTGACACAAAACTTAAAGCAGAATTCTTCTAAATCCTAGATACAAAACAAAAAGCCTTTTTATTAGCTTCAAAGTTTCTAAATTTTCTCTCATCCATGTTCAAATAAAGACAGCATTAAAAAGTTACGTATTTAGAATTGATTGATAGTTTTAACCATGCCATATGACAATTCTTTGTTCCAGCCACAAGATACAAGAAACGACACCCCTGCTTCTCTCACTTGCTAACGTGTAATGAAAGTTTCCTTTACACACAAGTGGGCCAGGGAGTTGGTGTTAGCTGCATTTGTACACAAAGGCAGATTTTGAAGTTAGTCTGTTACATAGGGTTCTTTTCTAACTACCATGTTACATTTATATAGCTCATGCAAATAATGCAAGATTAGAAAGTGAAAATTACAGAGCAAAAACAACATAGAACAATCATGTATTGAAAGATATTTTTATTCCAGGATAAAAATACAAGACCAGTCTTCAGAATTCTGCAAGGAAACAGTCACATTTTACAGATCAAGCACATTAATGACGTATTCAATTGATTTCAACAGGTCTTATTCTAAGTCATTGTGTTTATCCACTAAGTAAATAGCAGCTCCTGCGTCATTTGGTAGAAACAGGCAAGTTTAATACCTCAGTCTGAGTTTGTATGTAGTAGCTATTTTTCATCTTAAAATGGGGGTGGTTCCAATTGTTGCTGGACTACTAATCGCATAATCCTTGACTGGTGGCTATGCTAGGAGCTGCAAATCCAGTAACATTTGGAGATCATCAAGTTCCCCATCCCTGGCCTAAGATGCAGAACCAGTCAGAGGGCCTTCTCGGTGGTGGCGCCCGCCCTGTGGAACGCCCTCCCATCAGCTGTCATGGAAATAAACAACTACCTGACTTTTAGAAAACATCAGAAGGCAGCCCTGTTTAGGGAATTTTTTTATGTTTTATCATGTTTTTAATATTCTACTGGGAGCTGCCTAGAGTGGCAGCCAGATGGGTGGGGTATAAATAATAAATTATTATTATATTATTAGAATACAACAACTAAGCAAATAATCCCAAAATATTTATTTAAATACTGTAGTTTATTGTGCTAACAATGGTAGAGAAAAACACAAAAAAATAAAGTAATAATAAAAAATTATTATTAGGCCCAATGGAAATTGGCCTGTAGAAGGGAGCGGTCCTCCCCCACACTCGCAGCAGCAGCAGCAGCAGATTCCATGGTCAGATTCCATAACCAAGGTAGCAATCTCTACTAGTCAGGAAGAGAAACCAGCAACATCCCATAGTTCTTGGATGTCCCCATCCTACATATCACAATTCAACCCAATTCTTTTTCTCCAGTCAAACTCAGAAGCCAAGTTATTCATCATCCAACAAAATATAAAATAATGTTGAAGTTCAAGCTACAGAATTTTTAGCAGGAATTTCTAACCATCTCTTCTTTGAACATTAAAATTCAAGCTCATGTGGCATCCTTGTCTGACCTGCTTCAGGCACCCTCATGTCTGCACCGGAAATATAAACTTCTGAACAAATCTTTCACCACAAAAATCACATTCATAAACAAAAGGCACAAAGAAAATATTTAGCTGTGTTATTGCTCAGTGCCATACCCAATTGTCTCTACCTTTGAAGTATCAGGCTAAATGAAGAAACTCTCACTCCATGCCCCTTACCTCCAAGAGAAGCTGTATTGTTTAAGGCAGAGCTAACTGTGTTGGGGATGGGGGGCACTTCAATTAACATTTTAAAAACCTATCCAGTTGCAGCTGAAGCATCAGAAGAGCATTTTGATGCATCTGAAAGTTTTAGGAAGAGAGACTTGCTAATAGTTCAAACTGAACAGCAAGCTCATCATATGCTGTGAATAGAACTATGAAACACTGATTGCATTCCCCAGTCTGATACTTGAGCCTACAAATTAATAAAGGAAGAATGAATTTTGAACTTGGGTCACTTGCCATTTAGAATTGTTTAAATATAATTCTGCACCGGCAGAAGTCATTGCACTCTTCCAATCCTTCTGCCTGTGCAGGCTTGGCCACTTGCCCCGTTATGAGGGTTCCCCCAAAGCCCCACCATCACACAATTCTCAGGAGGCCTCCTTGTGCAGGCAGAAGCCCTTGCACAGGGCTAGTTCAATGAATCCTGCCCATTCAGCTTACAGTTGGGGGTGACAATCATACTTGGGCAACAGTGAAGCACAGCTGTGCACTTTTGTTAATTTGCAACTGCTGTGGTTTCCGTGAGGCTTGCCCATGGAAGAAGAGGAGTCAATGACTCCATTCCCACACTGATAGAGTGAGGTGCCCCTTCAGGGGAAGCCCTACAGCAATCTCTTTGTGGCCAGAGACTGCAGACATCCTGGGAGGGGAGCCCTGCCATGGGCATCGTGGCACTTGAGGATACAACTTGGAACCAGGTCAAACTGGTCAAACTTCATTCAGCTTCACGTCAATTAAATGTTTAAATTTCTAACATTCCCATTAATCAAGAACTGAACTTGAAAATTTAGACTTAAATTTAGGTTCCTTTGGTTCAAAAGAAACAACAGTTAAGGTGAAATTGCTTCCTACATTTTCTGATTGTTGCTAAACCTCAAAAAGTATAAAACTCCATTCCAACTATGTTTGATCAGTTTTATCAGTTAATCACCTTGCTTTATGGTAAAAAAGGTAAAGGACCCCTGGACTTAACCGTCCAGTCAAAGGCGACTATGGGGTGCAGCGCTCATCTCGCTTTCAGGCTAAGGGAGCCGGCATTTGTCCACAGACAGCTTTCCGGGTTATGTGGCCAGCATGACTAAACCTCTTCTGGTGCAACAGGACACAGTGACGGAAACCAGAACACATGGAAATACCGTTTACCTTCCCACCGCAGCTGTACCTATTTATCTACTTGCGCTGGTGTGCTTTCGAACTCCTAGGTTGGCAGGAGCAGGGACAGAGCAATGGGAGATCACCCCCTTGCGGGGATTTGAACCACCGACTTTCTGATCAGGAAATCCAAGAGCCTCAGTAGTTTAGACCACAGCACAACCCCTCCCCCCACATATCTAGCTTTATGGACAACACAGCAGAAAAGGCTTAAAATCAAACCAAGAGTCTAGATAGCGGGTGTTTCACTCTGGCCTAGATTTGCTTCCCCAAAGATTACTCATTATTATGAACGTTGTGTTTGCTAAAAACACTGAAAGGTGTTTCTCATAAAACAACAAGGATATTGCTTCAAATCAGGTTCTACAAATGTTAGAAATGTACTCTCTTAAAAACCAAAGCTAGGAATCTGGGGGTTAGGATTCATTCACAGCCCCCAGCACACATTGGACATCCAAGTCTTCAGATTAGCAGTATGTTTCATAAAGAAGAAGAAGAGGAGGAGGAGGAGGAGGAGTCTAGATTTGATATCCCTGATATCAAATATCAGGGATATCCCGCTTTATCACTACCCAAAAGAGTCTCAAAGTGGCTCACATTCTCCTTTCCCTTCCTCCCCCACAACAAACACTCTGTGAGGTGAGTGGGGCTGAGAGACTCCAGAGAAGTGTGACTGGCTCAAGGTCACCCAGCAGCTGCAGGTGGAGGAACGGGGACGCGAACCCGGTTCCCCAGATTAGGAGTCTACCGCTCTTAACCACTACACCATGCTGGCTCCCTCAAGCAAGACTGATTTGTCTACAAAACTGACAGAATTTTAAAACTTGTAGTTCCCTTTAAACACAGAGAAAGATTTACTACATAGAAAATCTCTCATAGATTGTTAAACTCATAAACTGGCCCAGGTATATAGAAACATCTCAAAGAATGGTAGGTTGCATTAACATCCCCTGTTATACAGAGAATGCAAGTGATTGCAACAAAATGTTGAATTGTGGTTTCTACTCAAGGTGGCCGGCATAGCCCTCTTCTGAGAGACGCCATTCAATTCTCTCTCCATGCCCCCCCCCTTTTCCAACAGCCCATGATTTTCAACTAGGTTTTTCTCAGATTAGGCCCACTGAAATAATAAAGTGTTTTCAGCTGTTTTTGAAGTCCATCCTCCCCTCCCCTCCCCTCCCCACCAACAACTAGTTGTTTCCTAAAGGAGCCTGTGAGTGCCTCACTTCTGTATATGGACAGTGCCAGTTTGTCTACATAACAATCCCTAACGATTTTTCTTTTAATGATAAAATCAAAAGAAAAATAAAAAATCAGGAGTAAAAGGGATGCAATTATAGAATTACAAATGGGTACTTTTGTACTAGGGACGCAGGGGGCACTGTGGGTAAAAGCCTCAGTGCCTAGGGCTTGCCGATGGAAAGGTCGGCGGTTCGAATCCCCGTGACGGGGTGAGCTCCCATTGCTTGGTCCCTGCTCCTGCCAACCTAGCAGTTCAAAAGCCCGTCAAAGTGCAAGTAGATAAATAGGTACCGCTCCGGCAGGAAGGTAAATGGCATTTCCATGTGCTGCTCTGGTTCGCCAGAAGTGGCTTAGTCATGCTGGCCACATGACCTGGAAGCTGTACGCCAGCTCCCTCGGCCAGTAAAGTGAGATGAGCGCCGCAACCCCAGAGTCGGCCACGACTGGACTTAACTGGCAGGGGTCCTTCACCTTTTTACCTTACTTTTGTACTATGAAAGAAATAGAAAAAATAAAAAGGTCTTGCTTATAGGCACCACCAAATAAAGTATTTCAAAGGGATTTGCTATCCTTGTGAACTCAGTGCCATATATTTGATAAATAGCCCTAAAATAAGAAATAAATGAAATAAGAATCAGAATGACCTCTGCTGACTTGAACATTACATGTCAATTTCTCTTTGACAGCAATAAGAATAACTTTCTTGCACCAGTTATCTAGGGTGCATTGGTGCATCATGGCGCGCTTTTTCAGCCCAGAGCAAGGACAAATCAAGTGCCTACTGGAAGATACACAATTAACTGTTCACATAGAAGATCCATATTACCTTTCCCAAAAACAGACCAAATACATAGTGTACATATACATAGTGTCTAGGATCACATTTCCCCCTTTAACTGTAATGATTTCTGTAATTACTTGTTTCCCAAATTTATGAACTTCAACACAATTCCTCATGTGCCAATAAGATCCTGGCTCCCCACAGCCCTGGGAGCACAAGGCTTGGGGAGGGATCTTTGACCCCATGGAGCCTTCAATGTAGGGTTAATCAGGAGCTTATCCCCTATGATGTTTAACATCTACATGAAACAGCTGAGTGGGGTCATCCAGAGGTTTGGAGATCATTGTCAGCAATATGCTTCTCTTTTACATCTGCAGGTGAAGCAGTGGAAGTGCTGGATGAGAGCCAACAAACTTAGCTCCAGCCATAGAATCATAGAATCATAGAATCATAGAGTTGGAAGAGACCACAAGGGCCATCGAGTCCAACCCCCTGCCAAGCAGGAAACACCATCAGAGCACTCCTGACATATGGTTGTCAAGCCTCTGCTTAAAGACCTCCAAAGAAGGAGACTCCACCACACTCCTTGGCAGCAAATTCCACTGTCGAACAGCTCTTACTGTCAGGAAGTTCTTCCTAATGTTTAGGTGGAATCTTCTTTCTTGTAGTTTGAATCCATTGCTCCGTGTCCGCTTCTCTGGAGCAGCAGAAAACAACCTTTCTCCCTCCTCTATGTGACATCCTTTTATATATTTGAACATGGCTATCATATCACCCCTTAACCTCCTCTTCTCCAGGCTAAACATGCCCAGCTCCCTTAGCCGTTCCTCATAAGACATCATTTCCAGGCCTTTGACCATTTTGGTTGCCCTCCTCTGGACACGTTCCAGTTTGTCAGTGTCCTTCTTGAACTGTGGTGCCCAGAACTGGACACAGTACTCCAGGTGAGGTCTGACCAGAGCAGAATACAGTGGCACTATTACTTCCCTTGATCTAGATGCTATGCTCCTATTGATGCAGCCCAGAATTGCCATCTAAGACTTGAGACACTGTTAGTGGGGGGGGGGGGGTCCGTAGAACAGATGGATGGGAAGTGCTCTGCTCTTGATGGGGGTTACACTTTGTCTGAAGGAGCAGGTTCATAGCTTGGGGGTTCTCCTGAATCCTTGAGGCTCAGGTGGCCTCCGTGGCACAGAGTGCCTTCCATCAGCTTCATCTGGTGGCCCAGCAGTGCCCCTATCTGGACAGGGAGAGACCCACTTATGTTGTCTATGCTCTGGTTACCTCTAGGTTCAATTACTGCAACGCTTTATATGTAGGGCTGCCTCTGAAGATGGTTTGGAAACTTCAGCTGGTGCAAAATTTGGCAGGCAGGTCAAATGGAGGCCTGCACATTAGCTGAGATCCCACATTAGCTGAGATCGGTAGCGGATCATAAACAAGGACAAATGAGGGTAATCATCCTTGCAAAAAAACAAAACAAAAAACCCACCCAAGGGGGGAGGCGAGCTCCAATTGCAGATTGTCTGATACCTGGCTCTCGTCCACCATGGATGACGGGAGGCAGGAGGCGCTGAGTGCAAAGCAATTCGCTTATTGGTAGCCTCCTGATACAGCCCTTATGGGCAGGGGTTCTTCTGTTTACTTGAAAGAAACTGGATCTAATTTACAGGCATGTACTGGACTAATTGGACAAGATAATCTGCTAAATGAATCAGCAACTGAGCGGCAACATTTTGATCTGGAGAGATGATTTTCTACGTAGCGAACACTGGTATATTGGCGGAAGCAAGCCTTTACGCTTTCTTTATATATCATGTTTGCTGCATTATTGATTTGGCAAACCTCCCCTTGAGTGCTAGTGGATTGATAAAAAGCAAAACGAATTAACGAGAATAAGATAATATTTATGGATTACTACAAAAATAGAACTGCGTGATAGTATTGATATGATTTAGAGCATTGATCTTCCACTGAATCGCAATTAGGGCTATGGCCTTTGAAGATCTACCATGGCCCTGGCGGGATGCCAGATTGTTAGCAGTGGAATGCTGGAGGGTAAGATCAGTTGGAGACCTGCCCGGGGCAATGGCCAGACCTTGCTGTGTTAATGTGGCTACTACTGAATTATTGTAATTAAAATTAATTTTAAAAATTATACAAAATTTGGCAGCCAGGTTGCTCACCCGGACAAAACAGTTTGAGCATATGACACTGATCCTGGTCCAACTGCACTGGCCACCAATTAGTTTCTGGGCCCAATTCAAAATGCTGCCTTTGATCTATAAAGCCTTAAACAGCTCAGGACCACAATACCTCAAGGCCTGCCTCTCCCCCTATGAACTGGCCTGGACCCTGAGATCGTCCTCGGAGGCCTTCTTCATGTGCCTCCTCCACGAGAGGTCTGGAATATGGCAACACGAGAACAGGCCTTTTGGGCAGTGCTCCCTCTTTGTGGAATACTTCCCTCAGGGAGATTTAGTTGGTGCCTTCGTTATGCACCTTTTGGGGCCAGATGAAAATGTTCCTCTTCAACCAAGTCTTGGGCTGATTGACATTCTAGACACCTTTTAATGTGTGTTGGGGGGGTGTTGTGTTGTTTTGTTTTAAATGTGTTGGGGGAGGGGTTATTGGTTTGTTCCCTTTGTTCCTGTTTTTATTGTGTATTGTGTAGACTGCCCTGAAATCTTTGGGTGAAGGGAAGCAGTAAAATTTAAAATAAAGTAATTTGATCTGATTGACAGAAATATAACAGGAGTTATGCAAGTTGTGGCTGGGCTTCTAGCCAACCTACCGGAAATATACTAAGAGCCTCTGAGCTTTTGCACCCAGCAAGTGGAACAAAGGAGAAAGGCTAACAGGACAAGTGGCACTGCTCTCCAGAAGGCAGAGTCCCTGCATTTCTCTTTTAGGAAATGCTCCACATCCCTTAACCATCTAATATGGACAGCTAGAGACCCCTCATTTGAAGCTCGGTCCTGCTTTTTCCTCACTCCCACCCAACAGCTATGAACAACCATTCTTATCTCTCTTGCTTCCATCAAGCCTTGTGTTCCTGTCCCCTCTCCGTTTAGTTTGCATCAGATCATAGCCCAGCAAACACATGCCCACACCAAAGCCAAAAAGGCCTCCAAGCAGAGGGTGTGAAGGAGAATCTCCCTGAGGGTGGTCTACATGGCACTGCTGGGGAATCTACTTTTCCCTCAGACTGGCTTGGTACAGCTGCCGTCCTCAATGGGAAGAGCTGCCTAGTTTAAAAATGGAAAAGAGGAACCCTGAAAGTGCCCATCGACAGTTGGCACCTGCCACACAGACTGAGCAGGCCCACACTCGTTCCTCTGAGGCCCCACTTCCACGGCACAGGCATCACCAAGACTCGGCACCTGAACTAGCTATGGGCTTATAGGGCAATGCTAATTAAAACACCCGACTGACTGGCTGCATGAAATTTAGCAGCTGACAAACAGTTGGCGCAGCACCCAAGAGTGAAGTGTGACAGCACCCAATGCTTGCTCTGTGTGAGATACCCAGAAAATGGTTCGCAGGAGCTGGGAGGAATGCTTGCTAGACTGTGCCTCAGCCAATAAACTAGATTAAATCTCTGCATACAGAAATGTTAATTTCTCCACCAAAATTTAGTTCTGCACCTAGTACATCTTAAGTATCACATTTCTCTGATTGTAGAAATACAGAGTGCTTTGGTTTTATTTTGTCCATAAGGAAAAAATAAGAGTTACTTTGCGCACTGGTGGCTCTAATAGTTTACCTCTGCATCGTAGCGAACAGCTGCAGAGAGCAAGGAGAAAGCGTTCTCCACAGTGATCCCTCTTTTGATAAGATGCTGACAGAGTTTTTTCAGTCTGTTTTCGCAATATGATGTAGCCAAATCCAGAAGCCCTAAAATCAAAATGCCACATTAAAATGTTATTTTTTTCTGTTCTTAACAGCTCCAGTGCAGCATTTCTCTGTACACTCAGCATAGGACATAGGAAGCTGAATCATAAAATAATGGTAAGAGGTAAATACATCATCCTCACCCCACTGGATAGGAAACCAACCACAAAACTGGGATAGCAGCATTGGAAGGCCAGGAAAAAGGGGGCGGGAATCAGCAGGCAGTAAAGATGAAATGCAAGAGTTATTCCATGCTCAAGGATGGGGGAGATCCTTCCTCAGAGGGACATTTCCCACAGCAGTTATTGAATACAAGCAACACTACAGCGTCTCCTGTGGAGTCCACTGCATTTGTGTCAACTGTCCTTTGAATTTGAGAATCACTGCTGGAAACATGAGCTCAAGAAAGGATTTCTTCTCTTGAAACACGCCAAGGGAAAAAAAACTCATTTCCAGTGCTTTTTTCGGGGGGGTGCCGCATGATCCCCCCCCCCCGATTTCTCTCACACTGTGTACCATTGAGTACGGCCGGGGGAAAACACTGCTCATTTCTAGCACCTAGATTTCCTCCCCTCTGCTCTGTTTCCTCAAGATAGAATCCAGTTTTTTAAAGGCCCCCACCCCTTAAAACTAGCTTCCATTGGCCTAGAAGGAACCACCCGTGTATTGGCAAATAAATACAGCAAATTAATGATACTATAACTGCAAGCTGCTCTTTTTGAAGTAAAAACTCTCCAAATGAATTTTCATTTTTAGCACCAATTTGAAACAATAGTGCTCAGAGCCCAGATCCATTTTTTTGAAGCAAGGTGCTCTACTTCCATCAGCTCAGTTCACCCCAGACCAGCACTGTCGGCTGACAGGGTCCATAAGACAACAGAGGCCTCAAGAGCTCTTGCTCTTCCAAACCCCATCCCTGGCAGGCAAAGGTGCAGTGGCTGAATTGTCTCGTTTAACTGCCACTGGGGATGTGCCTCCATGTCTATTTCTTCTTCTTCCCTTCCCTTTCTTGAAACCAAGTCAGCTCTCCACAATTTCTCTGCACAATTTAGCCCCCGTCCCCAAGTGCTACCTATCGCGTCTTCAGGTGGCAGATCAACGCTGTCTGTGTAGAGATACTCCAGAAAAGCACGGTATACCGGGTAGGAAAACTGGTCAATTTCTATCACCTCCTTCATGTCTTCATTCCAATAGGACTGGAACATAGTACGGAAATGCTCACATCTGTTGGGGGGGGGAGGAAAAAACTACATTCCAGATTCTGCAGAATACATTAGGAACATGGGAAAGTACCACCTAAGAATTCATCACAATATTCTGTACTCCTCCCCTGCCCCCAGTTAGAATTGGGACATACTCATCATGACAGTGGGTTGTAGCCAATGGTGCCATTGTGCCCCCAAAAAGCACTTACATTTGCAAAAGTGGGTTTTTGTTTTGTACCCTACTCAATTGCATTTTATTTTTATCTAATTTCTATGAAACGTTATTTAATGTTGTTGAAAGCATATACTGCACCAAGATCTGCAATAGGAAGTGGGAGACTGGTGGAGTGGATGAACCTGGCATGAGAATAAAACAAATTAAAATAAAAGGAGTGGGAAAGGTCTGGTTGATTAAAGAAACAAAGATGAACAATCAAGTTTATTAGACACTTTGGACATAGCATTAGCACCCGGCCACAGGGCATTAGACGCAAGTATTACCTGATTTTCAAGACAGCTTTATGTACATAAATGAATTTTCCATCTACTCTAAATTTTAGATCCGAGGTTTCAGGGCTATCAAATTCTCTCTTCAGGGACTCTGTCACTGTTAAGAAGTCCTCATGCTCTGCAAAGATTAAACATCATTATACTGAAAGCAATATTAAGGCTCCGTACACAGTCTGCATCCAAGGTGCTTTCACTGCTGGTTTGAGAAGCAACATACACACAGAGCTAACCATAATGAAGCACTGCATTTTGGATGCCTTTCCCCCACAAAGCAGCTTCAGTCTTAATTAAAGATGCAAATACATGTTAAAAGGAGAGGGGATAGTTTTCCACAAGTTCATTAAGTAGGAATCCACAGAATTGTCACTGTGATTAGCCTAAATTCTGGCTGTCATAATTGGGGGCAATCTCTATCAAGGAAAAATATGTTCTGTTGTTCATGTGCTCTTTTTTTAAAAAACCAGGCCAGCATTTGCTCAAAATGAGCAGGAGGCAAATGAAGTTACCAGCCTCTGCTGTTGTGCCACTAGTCTCCCACTCTGTCATTTTAAAACAGCATTAATTCTCCTGAGCCTTTTCATTTCCACTGCTGCTTGCTGCTTTACTGGGTGAGGGTGGCGGCTGCAATAGCAACTTAGTAACAACTTAAAAGAGTGTGTCAAAATATTGCTGCATAACAGCCCTGAGACGCAATCTACTTCTTCTTTTTAAGAAAAAGGAAAATGCACTCCTGGGGACATGAATTTGTTGGAGCATGCTTAACATTTTCCCTTGGGGCTGTTGGTTTTTAAAACTGCTGAAAGCCACTTGCAAGAGACATCCCATTCTCCCAAGTGCTGCTGTTGCAGTTAACTTCACAGCACCTCACCCAAATACATGCCCCTCTTTTAAAAAATAAATAAAATCCAAAGCCAGGAGCAGGCATAGGCAAACTCTGGCCCTCCAGATGTTTGGGACTACAATTCCCATCATCCCTGACCACAGGTCCTGTTAGCTAGGGGTGATGGGAATTGTAGTCCCAAACATCTGGAGGGCCGGAGTTTGCCTATGCCTGGCCAGGAGAATGAAAACACAACAGTATTCTCTCAGCTTCCCATTCCAGCAATGAGCAGAACTCATTAAAGTCTCTCAGCTAAAGCCTCCCAGCATCGCCTGCCAAAAAACCCAATATGGAGATAAGAATCACGGCCTGCATTCACATTTTCATTGTCAGGGTACTTTTACAAATGAGAAGTCACATTTTTTGTCTGAAGTTAAACTTGAGGGAGGGATCCGGAGCTCCTGCCTTGGCTGCTCTCTCTTGTCACTCGTTCTCCCAATCAGAGCGAAACTAAAATTCTAGCTCTTTCCATTGTTCTCTATGGATGTTTCTACCACAGGAAGAGCAACTAAGAGCTTTAAAATGAACCAAAAGTCCTTTCTCCAGACAGTGGGCATGTCACTAAAGGTTTTATTTCACTTCCTTCATTAGTTAGGAGTAATGAAAGACAAGAGCAAGTTCTTGTTTTGGGTCAAATGCAAATATTTTGCCTCTTATTTACAATTCTAAAATAGCTGGAGACTTGCTTTTTCTTTTAAATTAAAAACAGAGAATCTTGACAAGCCAACAGTCCAAATGTGTGGCTGGAATGGGGCCAGGTGTGACCAGACCTTGAACAGAATCCTGCTCCATCCCTTTCCCCCAATCCTGATCACTTCTCCCAGCAAGCGCCCTCTGCTAAAAGGCATTGCAGCTGACCTCTCTCACCCCCCACCGCATGAAAGGCAACATGGGTATTTTGCACTATCCACAGGAAAAGCCAAGAGTGACAATCCAATGGTCTGGAGGCTGAACGTTTGGGTTCCTTTGATGCTATTTTCCCCTCCCACAGAAATAAGTGAAAGCTGCCCATTGAAAATGGAAAGAAATCCAGGATGTTCATTAGCATAGCTGTAACTGAGCATCAGTGGGCCTGCCTAGAACAAAAAAGAGAATAGTTAATACTTCAAGTTGTATTTTCCCACATAAAGGATTATCTAAGTTTAAGTTTTAAGCATTTTTTTAAAAATGCACTGCAAATGCCAATACTGCAGGTGGCAGGTGTGTGTTATTGCTAAGAACTGCTTACCACAGTTCTGTAGTATTAATATTGCAAATCAGAGATGGGGCTGAGGCTGTTTTGAACATCTAGCCAAAAGATCTCACATTGCAACAAGAGGTCACTCCCTCTGAGGTCTTCTTTCGGCTGAAACTGTGTGGCTTTGTGTACTTTGCATATGGACATGATGCACTTTTAAGAATTTTTTAAAAACCCACAATTACATTTTCCATGCTAAATAGCGTGATCTTTGCTCCTTCCTTTTGCTCAATTAAGGACCACTGCCGTCCAATCACAGCTACACTACATGATTGCCTCCCATGGGCAGCTCACCCTTAAGGGACCTAAAGCTGGAGACTCTGCTAAATCTTGCTATTGGAAGTCTCGGGTGGACAACAGAGAGATGTTAACCAAGAGACTGAGAGAAATTCATTTGGGGGAAACTGTGGTGACGCAGTTGACAGAAAGTCACTGGGGGGACTTTTTGTGGAGATGGTATTCCCTAGCCTTGTTAGCTCAGGTGTTGGACTCTGCTCTCGTACAGATGATGTTGTGCCAGGGCAGGTGCAAAGAACCAAGATCCTGCCTATAGGAAGAGAGGAAAGCATTTTGTGAAGTGCCAGTGGTTGAGAGTTTGGGAAACAGAACTAGATTTTGGAGGTGAAGGAGACTCTGTTCTTTATGTATGGTACACTCCCAGGGTGGAGAGAAGAGTGCTGAAATTCTTAAAAAGGACATGAAGGGATTGAGAGAGAGAGATACGAGAATAATGCCTTTGGTCCTATAACCTCCTCACCATTATTTGTGCAGGGAGCAACCAGCTATACTTGTTCTGAATGCAGTGAGGCATTTTTACTATTTTTCACAGGGTACCAGAAGCGATTGTTTGACTATCAAGCCTGGACAGAGTTTGGAAAACCTCATCTCCAAGCTCTGTAAAAATAAACAGCAGCCATGTTAGAGCCACTGCAGCCTGGAGGTTAGCGTGCTGGACAACAACCAAAGTTCAAATCCCTGCCTGCCCACCCCTGGTCCTGCCATGAAGTTCACTCTATAGTAATACTATAGCAATGAAAACAGCAATGAAAACAGGCAAAGCTGTGCCTTCTGACCATTAGAAGCCTGACTCAAATCCTTTTTGGTATTTGCATCCTTTGGCAGACTTTGCCCAGTGCTTCCTCCTCCCACTCCAAGCCAGCGAAACTAGAAGCTTGTTTTCAGTGTTTAATAATAAAAAGTTGAGCATGTTCTCACCTACTGAGAGTAGACGCCACATCACAGCAGGAGTGGAAAAGCAAGCAAACACATCATCAGTGCAGGAAAAGTGGGTTACATGGGGAAGAACCACCGATTGCCCCCGGCACTGACCCCACATGTATACCAGGCCACTCTGTGTCTTGGCAGCAGAAGTGTGAGCAGAATGGCAAGCTGCAATCTCTACTACTCTGAAAGAAAGAAAGAAAGAAAGAAAGAAAGAAAGAAAGAAAGAAAGAAAGAAAGCTACAGGTTAGTCAGCTGCCAATACACAAAGAATTGCATAATATGTCATGAAGGTATACATGGAGATTACAGGAAGTGTCATAACAGACTATGCAAGACAAAAACAAATTCATTTATCACAAGACTCCATAACTAGTAGCTTTAGTGCTGAAAAAGGGAGATTCATGAATGTCTCTCTCTTTAGGATGCACACCCTCTTCTTCTAAAAGTACATGCACCTCAGGGCATTTATCACAGTATTTATGCTCAATTGCACAAGAAGGAATATTTACGCTTTAATAAAATTAATTAACACATTTATTACATCATTCCCAGTCTAAGAGGTGATGTGCATCACTGAACAATTGCCATATATAACTGGCAATGGGCAATGAAGGCCAGCTGCCTCAGACTGCCTCTTGCAGGAGACACAGAGGAGGCCCCAGCTGTGAGGGGTGAGGAAACCTGCAGCCCACTATCACCTGCAAGGCCACAGGTGGGGAGAGTGTGCCTGTTCCACGAGATCTAAGCAATTAAATAATCCAGCTGCGAACCTGCCAAAAACACCAACATCTGCAAATGGCAGGAAGAGAGGAGTCCTCCTCCCCTCCCCTCCCGCCCATTGCCTCTGCAAACAGGAAGCAGATTTGTCTTGGCCTTCAAGTTGCCTAGATTTCAAACAGAGCAGGCAAAGGAAGTGTTTCCCTTTATGCTTCCTTTGCCCACATGATGTGATTGCTGGAAGCTACAGAACCCATTTCCTTTGTTGATGCAGCATGATTCAAAACCACAGGGGCAGACTTTCCATGCAGTGGTTGCTGTAAGTGCCCATCACTTCCACAATGGAACAGATGGCAGCCTGGAACTGGACACTTTACTGTAGGTAATAATTTAGAAGTTCACAATTTTGTAAAGTGCTACATACCTGAATATTAAGTATGATGTCAGGGGTTCAGGGACAGAGGCACAGGTGAGGGAGGAGACGGAGAGCGAGGGGGAAGACTCCCAGGACAATGAGGAAGAGGATGACAATGACTTGAGGGATTCCATGAGTCTTTCAAGTGAATCGGAGGGGAGGCCAAGGGGAGTCACAGGGGGGACTCGTCAGGAGCAGGGGACCAGCGGGGGAACCCAAGGTGGGAGCTGGGAGTCGGGACCGGCTTCTCCGCCAGAGCGCAGTGAAGGGGGTGGAGATTCCAGTGTGACAGGGGAAGCAGGTCCGAAAGCAGAGAAGGAGGGAAGATCGGAGCAAGACATCCTCCCGGAAAGGGAGGGGAGTAGTGCAGGGAGTAGTGTAACTGTCAAGAGGAAGGTTAGAGGTTGCGAACACGCGCCAAGTTCAAATGTGGAGGCGCGCGGAAGAACAGGGAGCCCGGAGGAGGAGCCAGGTCCCAAAGCACGCAGGAGGGGGGGAAGAGCTGTCTGGGGATTCCGCGTCAGGGGAATCCAGGAGGGGGGAAACCCCAGGGGGCAGGAAGACCCTGCGGAAAAGGAAAGAAAGGAAGAGGTGGAGCAGCACAAGCCTCTTAAAGTGGTGCAGAGGAGGGACTGACTCAGAGGGGACTTCAGCGGTCTAAGCGTAACAGACGTGGGGCTGCGCGCCTCGGCTGTGGAGCGTACAATACACTGCAATAAACATCTTTGTATATAAACTGGACTTGGCGTTGGTCTCTTGTGAGCTGGGACCTGAGGCAGCCCTAACAGTAAGTCCCCTCTCCAAAAGAACGCAAAAATTTTTTTGCAAAGCTCACGAAGTTTGGCAGCCATGAATGCGGAGGAACAGTTAGCAGCCCTCCGAAACGCAGTCGCCGAGCTTTCCACTGCGGTAGTGGTCTCCCAGAAGAAAAGTGACGAAGCGAAGGCGCGATGCCACGATCTGCAAGCCAGGTGGGAACGTGCGTGCAAAGAGGGGTTCCCGTGGTCCAGATCAGAGGGAATCGGACTCGAAAGGCGGGGGGGCAGTTTAGTAGCCCACTTCGATGGGAACCTGAAGCACTATCCCAGTTTCAGAGCAGACGTCGTATATGCGCTGCATTTGCTTCGGAAAGACTTTAAAGATGAGGAGGAGAAAGTGGGTTTTATTGTGTCCCACTTGCATGGGGAAGCTAGAGCTTGGCTGCGCAATTTGTGGCGCGAAGATGGTCCTGCCCGCAGAGATTCTGACGAATTTATCAAAGCTATGGACGCTTGCTTCCAATCTACCGTGGACGTTGATGTGGCGCAACGGGAGGTGCATGGATTGCGGCAGGGCACGGCTACAGTGCGTCAGTACCATTCTCGCTTTTTTGCATTGCTGAATGTGCTGGGCTGGGAAAAGGACTCCCAAGCAGTGAGAGATTTGTTCTGGGAAGGGCTCCATGGCTCCATAAAGGATGAGTTGGCCAGGGGAGACAGACCTCAGACCCTAGCAGACGTCGTGCAGAGGGCACTCACGATTGGAGTGCGCCACGAAGAACGTCCTTGGCACAGTGAGGAGGGCCGCCAGGTGCGCGCACCAGCTAAAGCGCCTCCTTTTATTCCCAGGGATCTGGGCCGTGCGCAGGGGGAGGAACCGATGGAGCTTGGTGGTGCTAAGGCTCAAACAGTGGCCGGAGCCCCAGCGTCCGGTGCAGTCAAGGCGAAGCCTCCTAGAGGGAGCAGGAAGTGTTACATCTGTGACAGTGTGCAGCACATGGCCAAAGAGTGTCCCCAGAGGCTCCAGAAGCACACTGCAGCATTAGCAACAGTAACAGAAGAGGTGCTTCACGGAGAGCAGTTTCAGGGAAACGACAGTGCCTGGCTGGAAGCAGAAATGCTGGGGCTCAGCCAGGCGAGTCAGTAAAGCAGTCCCCAGCGATTTTGCAGCAGACAGACCCCTTACCACCCAAGCCAGTGGTGCAGCTCACTGCAACGCTCCAGCTACCTAATGGACTCACCCTGGAAGTCCCCATTACAATCGACTCCGGTAGCAACGCGGACTTCGTGGGGGTGCAGTTCATCAAGCAGCATCGCATAGCGCTTCTACCAGCCACACTGCCCCTGAACGTCGTCACGGTCGATGGCAGGAAGTTGCTGGGCGGGCAAGTTGTACAACAGACGCCACCCATGGTGATGCAGATTGGGAATCATCGCGAGGTCATTAGCTTCAACGTCACCCGCCTGTCAGACACGCCTATAGTGTTAGGCATGAGCTGGCTGGATAGACACAGTCCAATATTAGCGTGGTACCAGCGGCAGCTCACCTTTGGCTCATCTTACTGCGCACAACATTGCATCCAGACAGGCCAGGAGGAAGGGCGGCAGTTACACCTCAGCATGGTGCAGGCAGTGCCCCACAAGTACAAGGGGTTTTTGGAGGTCTTCTGCGAAAAGGAAGCTGACCAGTTGCCACCCCACCGGCCCTACGACTGTGCGATTGACTTTTTACCAGGGGCGACGCTGCCGACTGCAAAGTTGTATTCCATGTCTGAGGATGAGATGCAAGAACTCAGGGAGTTCATAGAGCACAATTTGAAGCAGGGATTCATCCGGGAATCCAAAGCAGTGGGGGGCAGTCCTGTGTTTTTTGTGAAGAAGAAGGACACGCCCCAAAAGAGACTCATTGTGGACTATCGGGCCATAAACTCGATGACAAAGCCCAAGGCTTTTCCCATGCCCAAGATTGACGACCTGCTAGCGACGGTGAGGAAGGGGAAGATCTTCACCAAGTTGGATCTACGCGGAGCATACAATCTCATACGCATGCGTGAGGGCGATGAGTGGAAGACGGCCATGTTCACACCGTTGGGCACCTATGAATACAGAGTTATGCCTTTTGGTCTCCAAAATGGCTCCCACTGTTTCCAAGCATTTATGCACAACGTGCTAGCGGGACTCCTCTACAAGAAGTGCGTATGCTTCCTCAACGACATCCTGATCTTCTCGGAATCGCAGGAAGCTCACGAGAGGGACGTAAAGGAGGTCCTGCAGAGACTACGGGAACACAGACTCTACGCCAAACTGGAGAAGTGCCAGTTTGACGTAACGGAGGTGGATTTCCTGGGCTACAGGCTATCCGACAAGGGACTAGCCATGGACAGCGCCAAGGTCCGCGCGGTGTTGGACTGGAAGAGCCCGCGCAATCGGAAGGAGGTCCAGAGGTTCGTCGGTTTCGCCAACTTTTACCGCAAATTCATCAGGGGTTTCGCGAAAGAGACGGCAGCAATCACGGACACTCTCAGTTCCAAAAAGAAGAAGTTCACCTGGACGGACCAGGCAGAGCAGTCCTTTCGGAAACTTAAGAGCCTCTTCGCATCCGAGGAACAGCTGCTACACGTGAATCCCGGCAGGCCCATGCGGGTCGAGACTGACGCATCCGACAGAGCGGTGGGGGCCGTCCTCTTGCAGGAAGATCCGCAAGGGAACTGGAGGCCCTGCGCTTTCTATTCCCGGAAGCTCAGCAAGTCGGAACAGAACTACACCATCTGGGACAGGGAGTTGTTGGCCATTCACGCGGCTTTCAAAGCGTGGCGGCACTTCCTCATAGGAGCCAAGCACACCGTGCAGGTCCGCACGGACCACAAGAACCTAGAGTATTGGCGCACGGCGAAGCTCCAGAGCCAGAGGCACATACGCTGGGCGGAATTCTTCGCGGATTTCGACTTCCGAATAGAGTACATCCCGGGAGACACCAATGTCATAGCAGATGCGCTCTCCAGGAAACCGCAATATCTCGAGGAAGCGGCAACAGTGGCAGCCAAGCACATTTTCGCACCGCAGGCGTGGGCGTGCGCTTCAGCCGTCGTGGACCTGGACGCGGTGCGTCGCGCGCTGCAAACGGATCAGTTTGCACAATCCAAGATGGAAGAGCTGCGCAGAGGTACAGCGAGGGACGACGAGTTCCAGATACGCGACGGTCTGCTAACTCGCAAAGGTGCCCTCTACGTGCCGGGGGACGATCTCCGCGTGAAGGTTCTGCAGCAGTTGCACGACGCACCCAGCGCGGGTC